TTATGACCAGGCCAGCACAAATGTTATGAGCTCCAGTCCCTGCGGTATCTGGTGCTGTCACTGGCTAGAATTCAATCCCGCTGATAGGCCATTGCCAGGTTTCATTAACTATTCCTTAAAATAATAGCCAAAAAGGGGTAAATAGATCTGTTTTCAGGTTTCCTGGAACCCATATATTGCGGAGAATTTGTTGTTATTATCAGATAGTTCAGTTAAATAGTCTAGCCCCCATTCTCAATATTTCATATTTAAACAATGGGCACTGAAAATAGACAAGCACTTCTAAAACTTTGGCCAAAATCTCAGCCATAAAATGGATGCTATGGCAGCTCTGCTGCTCTTTCCCGTATATTTCAATTTGAGTTGATGTTATAAATAAGCCTTTTAAATTTGCATATTATTGCATTTTCTGTTTATAAACTTGTTGCGTCTAAAACAGAACACAGATCCCCCAAAACCGAACCCAAACCCCAATTATGTTTGGTAGGTGGATGGCCAAACTCCAATCATACGGTCTCTGGCTTATTGATTTCGGAGCACAAAACACATTTTGGCACTTTGCTGGCACTTTGACAAGCGTTGGGTGGTCGCAAAACTTTTACCTGAAATATTTATGAAAATGTATTTGACACGTTTTTAATAAGGTTGCTGCTGGTGTTGTTGCTGTTGCTGTTGCTGTTATGCTTTTCCTGGTGCCTGACTGACGGTCGTGCAATACTGCAGCAGCGGCTGCTTCTGACAATCCGAGTTGTTAATTTAATTAAACGCGGAGCTGAAACGAGGCGCGCCTTCACAACTGCCGTTCATGTTTGTGGCAGGTTGGCCAGGCACTGATTTTCTGTGTAGAACTTTTTAAGTCAGCCATCTGAGGCTAAGGCAGTCGACACACGTGGCTCTTGTTTAGCCTGCAACCATCAGAGTGGGTCGCCGAGCAGCACTACAATGGGCAGAAACTAAGCGGTTTGTTAATTATGTAACAGCCTTTAATAGGTCTGGGTCCAGCTGCGGTGTGAGGGGCATGAGGGAGAGCGACGCATTGGCAATCAGCTTAAGTGCAAGATAAGGTAAAAGTTTCTGGACAGCTGGACTTGAGATGGTTCTCAAACTCGTCTCTGCAGACTGTTGGAGAGGAAACATTTTCCTACGAGTATCATAATTTCAATTAAAATTATTTTTCTAACACACGCTCATACTCGTACAAAATTGAACCATGATGTTCCAAGACGTGAGTGACAGAAAAAAAACATAAAATATTTGATGCAGACCATGAAAAGCATTACATGTTCAATTCAGACCAAAGATGTGAGGCACTTTTCATACTAAAAATGCCACATACACCAGCACTACAAAATAAACAAGTGGGGAATGCCTTCAGGTAGAAAAAGTTGCTGCATAAACAGAAAATTTTACATAAAAAGCTAAAATGCATGGAAATTGATGTGGCAACAATACCAAAAAAAAAAAAAGAAAAAGAAAACAACTAAATTGTGGACCCATGAGAATATTTACTCATGCGACTACATATGTATGTATGTATGTATGGATGGATGGATGTTTGTATGCTCGTATGTGTGCCTCACCCAACGCAGTTCAATATGCAAAGCATATGATAATGCCCAAATGGCCAGGAGTGTTAATAAACGTTCGCACACAGCACCATGAAAAGCCAATGCCGGAGATTTTCATTCCTGTGTCCTGCACAGTTTTCGCTTTTCTTATAAAATTTTCAATCTCTATAAGAAATACAACATGAAAATGAAAAATTGTGCAAAAATATACAAAAATAACACGGACAACTGAAGCAAATGATTACCTAAAATAATGTCTGTGTGTGTGTGTGTGTAGTTAGTGCGAGGTTAGTTTCACAAATTGTATTTTTATTTCGAAAATAACATAATAAGTATGAAGAGAAGTTTTGCGTAGCTATCGCTTGACTTTGTTAGTGCATGAATTCTAAGGCCAGTGCTTTAAAAAAACAAAGAACCAATGAGAGAAAACGTGTTAAAAAACGTTGGGGGAAAAACAATATATCGTGAATGAAACACCTTTTCAATGAAGACTGTTTTTTTCGAGTGCTGTTCTCAATAGTTTTGCCAGAATCCCGTTCCGTTAATAATTCTGCAAAAGCTACCCAAAAAAGTATGCTACATATTTGTAATTACAAATGTGGGGGAAGTATTTGTACGAAGCCTCCGCCAGATCTTATTATTAAAGCCAAATAGTGTAATGTTTTCAGCATAAATGTTTCAATGTATACTTATCTAATTTAATAATTATTTATTTAATTCAAAATATTATGTTATGGCCTTAAGCCTAAATTCATAAAATTGATAATAATATATAATTATAAAAAAATTTAAAAATATTGGTTTGTTTTTTTAATAAAACATGCATTTCCTATTAAATGTAAACTTGGAATTTATATTCCCAAGGGATTGCAGCCTAGACGAAGAGCGATATTTGTAAGATCGATCGATATCAATTCAGATAGTACAATTATTGCTTTAATAGCTCATAAGCCTAGACATTAAAATTATATATTACTTGCCTACTGAACATATTTCGGAGATGAGGTATTTTTTTATTCACCACTAAGGTCGCTAATATTTTTCACAAAAAGTACCTTAATTTCACGCTATTGTTTATGTTTTGTAAAATTAATATGTCAACATCGGATAAAAGAAACAGAAAACAATTTGACTTGACAAAAAGCTCCGTTCCACTGGATTAGGTTTCAGCTTTTTTTTCGTGTTTACAAAACGAGTTGCCATTTGATTGCGCAAATTGCCAAAACAGCTAATTTCCCGATAGAAATGTCACCACAAAGCAATAGAAGTAGATTTTTGTTGGCATCTGACAAGCGAACGCAGTGTATTATCTTTTGGGAGTCCAATGCCGTGTCTGGTGATGTCTTAATATGCTCGCCATACGGCTGCCTAGGTAGGTAGCCAATTACAGAAGTGTCCAAGTTATGCGTTTTCTTGGGGACAACTGTTTGCAATGCCCTCGTCCCTCGTCCCATCCTCGAGTCTATATTGTTCATGTTGCATACTTCACGGCTGGCTTTATGCATAAGTAATAGCATGTTAGTGTCAATAGTTGTCAACGCAACATTGTTGCTGTTGTTGTTGCTGTTGTTATTTGATATAACAGTAAGTTATCCTGGTCAGCGCACAAGCACACATATTGACAATGCTGCTACCTTCTTTTTTTTTTTTTTTTTTTTTAGAAATTTCTTGCATTAGATTCTGCACATTTGGTTCGTGGCAGTTCGTTATCGCCATATTTTTTCCATTTACATCATTTCCCCTCAAACCAATTGGACATGGCCCATATTGTATTATTTTCTACATATGTACGTATATACATATATTGGCATTACTTTTGGTGCCGTTGCTGTTGCTAAATACAACAAGCTCGTTAGTTTTGCTCTCGGCGTATTCTTTTTTCATGACGCTGCCAACATCCGGCGGCCGTCCGCCACCGCCCCTCTCTCTCTCTCTCTCTGGTATCCCCCTCAGTTTAGTGCGCCTTGGCTATGGCGTGTCCTTCAACGCCTTCCTAGTTACTCTCTTACGTGTCAGTTTGCTTTCGTGTGTGTGTGTGTGTGTGTGCAGCGGAGGGCCGCATATGTTACTTTATTGGCATTCAATTTGAGTTATCGCTATTTTTTCCTGTTCATATGCGTTTTTGCGTGTGTTTGTATGCTTGTGTGTTTGTGAGTTGCTGTTAAAATGAATTTTCTACTTTTCACTACGTTATCGCACTGTTGCTGTTGCTGCTTCTGCGTCGAAAGAAAAGCAGTGGCATTGTTGCTGCCGCTACCGCTCAATGCAACCGCGTTGCGTCTGAGATTTTCAGTTGAGCTCTAAGTTTACTTTTGTATCTCGGCACGTTTTTTTTTCCTATATGGCGTGCTGGGGCAGAAGGCAGTCACAGCCACAGCCACAGCCACAGCTACAGTCGCAGCCAGCAGCCAGCAGCAGGCAGCAGGAAAGGAGCACGGCTCGGCACTAACATATAATCACATTTTATTTGAACTTTTATTTTATTTGATGCCATTTCAGTTGGTTTTTCTTTGCGTTTTACGCTCCAAGTTTATTTGCCAGCCATTCTGTTTGTTGTGCCAGAAAAGTTCATAGCAAAAAGTTCAGTTTATTTATATTGATTGCCTGTCGAGGTCATTTGGGTATAGTTCTATTCTTAGGTGAGCCAGCTCCTATGCTAAATTCCAACTTGCCAATTTTGATTGATGTAATTTGATGGTGAAGGTCGAACGAATTTTTGTTCAATTGCTTCGAGTTATTTTAATTAAAAATGTCTGGACAAGTGGTGATTCTTCATTTTGTCTGCCATTGAGGTTAAGCCTGTTAATTACTTTACAGACGATTGTCTATAAACACACACACACACACAAAGGCATAGACACTTAACAATTACTTAAAGTATGTTTGGAGAATTTTATTCTGTTAAATGAAGGACTACAATTGTTAAGTTATTCAATTGAGTGAAAATAAATTTAAGCGTAAGTGCTATGATCATGGCCTTGTACTTGTTTTCAATTCGTCATCGGGCGGATATAATGAATATTTTGAGCTTCTCCAATAGCTTTGTTGGAATTTGTGTTTTCATGTTAATGAAGATATTGATATTAACTTGGTTAAGCTGTTTGCTTTTGTGAAGTCTGTGTAAGCTGTAGATAACTGGCATTTAATGGAGATATTATTCGTGTTCTTTTGTTATTAAAAACATCAAATTACTAAACTTCTCCAATATTACAAATTTTGAAATTTTAGTTCATTTTAAAAATGACGTTTGCATTTTTAATTTGAAACCTATTTTAAGGATAACTACATACCAGGCTATAAAGTTTTATTTGTGGAATTAAAGATATTTTTTTTTGCTATTAATCAAGTATCCATATATAGACCACAGCCAGACTAACCACAAGTCCTGATATTTCCTCATTTGTATTGAATTAATTAAAGACTAATCAAAGTAAACAGTTGAACACTAGTTAATTAAATATTTATTATCATCTCTATATCTATTTTTACATAACAGTTTTTAAACTATTTATTATTTAGGAAAAGTACAGGTTTTTAATGTTGCGCTGATATTATGTTCACCTTTTTGAAAAACTCACATAGCGTTTTAGAATTACTCGCCAGCACGATATACAAGTATTATAATTTATTTGTATTTATTGAGGCACACGCGCCACACCACCTGCTACAGTGGGCTCTTATTTGATGCACTTATGCGCTCATTAATATGCAGAATAAAACGTCACGCTTCTGGGCTCAACTCAAGTACTGGGCAGGCAGAGGGATTTGGCCCTCGATGCTGTCGACATTCGAATATGTGGCATTATATTAATTAATTGCAAGACTCCAAAAAAATACAAGACAAAAGTATAGCTAAGTACTGCCTATGGGGTGGATTCGCATGCACGCAAAAATGCCACGCGACAGTCGTTAGCGGAATTCGGGGATTGGGTTGCTTTTGAACTTCGGAGCGAAGGACGAGAGGGCGAGAGAAGGGGCACGGTTGCTGGGATACGAGCGCGAAGGTGATGTTGGAATGGAGTTAAATGACAAATACTGAGCACATTTTAACATTTACACTTGCTTCCTGATGTGAGACAAACTTTCTCACATGCGAGCTGCCTGTACGCGCCCATCCACTCCGCTTTTGCTCGCTAATGAGTCGCACGCATTATAATTAACACAAAGTTTACAAATGTATATTTCGGAAATTGGCAATTAGCAATTGGCAACGACAAAACTTTGGCACAACTGCATACCACTCCCTTTTAAATCTTGAAGCTCACCAGCTCGGGCTCCTGCCCGCTGTCGTCATTGATGTCGTAGGCAATCAGAGTGCCGTTTCGTAGACTCGGAAGTTCGTGTTCCTTTCGCAATCCTACCGTCAGACATTTCGCATTGCTGTTAGACAGAGGCAGCAGCTCGACGTGAAGCCTGGTTTTACCCTCCTTCGACTTTGCGTACTGGAATTTTAAAAGTACCTCAAATTGTTATGTCTCTCCGAACGTAACCTAAATGTTTGGTGTTGTTTTCACCAAAATTCCATAAAAATTCAAATTAATGTTAATTTGAGAAAACGAATCTTTAAAAACATCACACTAATTTAACGTAGAAGCAATCCCCCATTCCAGGCACTTTACAAACGTTTTAATTGACCAACAAATCGTAATAATTTTGGATATAATAATTGATGCATGCGACTAAAAGTACTTGTAGAATATTCCATAAAAAAGATTTCATTTAAAATAGTTTCTTTCAATAAAATCGTTATTAGAAGCCAGATTTAAAATCTCTGCGATTTCTCATTCCGCGCTCTTTAATCCAGGGACTCTAATCATTATAAGTATTATTATAAAAATGTTTCAAAAAAAGGGATTCCTTTTTAAAATTTATTCATTCACTTACAATATAATGATTAATTTTTAGTTTTACTTTACAACTCATCGAACTTCTTTTGAGCAAAAAAAGAAAACTCACAAATAAATTCATTTTTTCCCTATTCCCTATGAAAAAGACAATTTAAATTACAAAAAAAGAAACAGCGTTTTTTTAATTTCCTTTAAAAAGAAGATTATTCGTGGATTTGTAAAGTATATCTCAAAATTAATCATTACATTTTGAGAGAACAATTGATAATTAAATTTGTTAAATCATGGTGAATATGCATAGATAATCCTAAAAGAAGAATACACCTAATTGTATTTTACACGGTCTTTTTTTTACAAGATTTTGATATAACACGGTTCGAAAAGTAAAAATTTCTTTAGAGATAAGGGGCCAATCACCTATTTTTGCATATGATCAATGTCTTTTTTCCCACAGTTGTTTCGGGAACCAATCTACCAATCAGAAAAGCATATGTTATTTTAAATCGTGCTAAATGGAATAATTTCGTGTAACCACATAAAAAATGTTTAATTTTCAAACCGTGTGAAGTCAAAACCGTGTAAAAACAGACCGTGTAGAAACAGAATTAGGTGTATTGCTGTAATCCTCGTTTTCTCAAAGCTACTGTGAGTGCATGACTTTTGTCCTTGCTTTAAACGGTTTGGTTCGACCAACAATCCATAATTTCGTTTATAAATAGGGTAATAAATACTTTAAAATAATTTCAGAATTTCGATTGAAAACATCGATTTCTTTCGGAAGGCGTAGCCAAGATTAAATATTAAAGGAAAAATGTCCACTCACCCGTACTGCCTTGTCGTTAAGTAATTCTTTTAAGTTGCCATCAGTTAGTGCATAGCCTGTGGGCAACAACAAATCCAATGCGCTGCCTTCTGTGTTATCCACATAGGGAAGAAGATGTATACACATATCTAAAGAGAGGGTCAAGGTACCCAAGAGTCCTTGAATTCTGACCTTTAATTCGTATCGCTTAATGAATGTGCGCTGACTACGACGCTCATAAGGCTCCAGCAGATCGTAGTTATATGAGCATTGCAGCAATAACTGCCCCAATCCATGGGCTCGATAGTGCACCTCTCGTGTTTCGAAAGGCAGTGTGGCTCGTTGCACCATCCATGCATTCCCGGCATTAAAACTTAAGAGCACTTCTTTCTGCTGGGCATATAGTTGAACTTTTAAATTTTCGGTGAAGTTATAGCCGATTCGCGCAACATAAGCAAAGATGGCGTGCAGCGCAAAGGAACTCTCGTAACTCTCTGCCACGCTATCTCGTCCGTAGAGCTGACTAACCAGCCATTGAAAAAGCGTCGACGATTCGCTGCTTGATTCAAGATTCTCGGATAGCAAGCATAGTAAGAAGCGGCCGGCGGTCTCCAACAGCTGGCGATGGGTATTGCTGCTTGAATTGAATAGCGAGGGTATCCAACTGAGCAGATCCGTATGCCTTCTCTTCACAAACTTGATTCCCTTGATCAGCAAATGTGAGTCTGTCGTAGCGTTCAGTTGGTGCCACAAATGGTGCACAGTTCTATTCAGTTTAGTTGGTTGCAGCTTTTGCAGAATCTGCACAACCTCCATGGTTAGTTCCAGTTGTGTTAGATGGGAGCGCGTGGGTGTAGGTCCCTGCTCGGCGTAATAAAAGCCTCGCCGACGGGTTTGGAGAAACCGCACACTAATTTTGAGTTGTCGCTGCTCCACCTCCAGGGGTGGTGCCTGCAACAGATACAAAGCCTCAAGTGCATAGGCCGTCAACCAAGTGGAGCTGCAGGATGCTGTCGGAAGTTCTAGCAAATGAGCGTAGTAGCAGAAGCCGCCATCTTTGTGTCGTAGGGCCAAGAAACTCTGAAAGTCAACACTAAGTTGTTCACGCAACTTATCAGTTCTTTGGCTGCTTGGCAGGAACTCCCACAGATGTTGGTTGCCGAGCAATCTTGTGATGAGTTGCTCGGCATTGTCAGGCGAAGTGGTGTGCGAAAGCTCGCGCAGCTTTGGGCTGAAAATATTGCGGCTTATGTGGCATTCTACAGAGTGGATTCGATGTTGCGGTCGTGCCTCCAGTTCTAACTTGCCTTCAACAGTAAGTGGCGTGTTCAGACTTCGAATTGTAGCCACCCGTTTGGCGATAAGAAAGCCCCCATCTTTCACAGACAGGGTACGGTATAGTATATCCTGATCCTTTGCCAAGGTGGACGTGGACTTTGCGGTAAAATTAAGCTTCAAGATACCAGTACTGTGAGCGCGTAAGTAAAAGAACACGACGCTTGAGTCGTCAGCTGGGATAAGCAATTCCTGCTGTAGAGTAGAGGAGGCGTTGGGCAACAGGTTGCCCTTTTCGGTAAGCAGATCGAAAGATGCTGGAGCCCGCCGCAGACTTATAATCACGTTTATACTAATATTTCGCTTGTTGAAGCAGACTAAGGGTAGTTTCAAGATTTCTCCTAAAAAAAAGAGTGGAAGGGTCTGTTAATAAAGATCGGGAAAGACTAGATGCTGAAAAAGTGTGTCTGAGCCAGGTCTGGAAGAGTGCTCCATACTTCAATTTGTTTTATATTTTTCTAATTTATACGTATTTGATTAAAGAATACATACCCCTCTTAATGGAATCGGGCATGTTGGTCGTCATAAAAAAAGGCTTGCTGCTTATAATCTCGATGGGTGGACTCAAAAGCGATAGTCCTGCTATGGGATGCATGGCAAAAGCGCTTAGTTGCCAGTTGGTGATGCTATCGGGGACACGGGTTCCCCATTTAGTCCATGCATCCTTTGTGCTTTAAAAGGTGTTTAAATAACATTCATTTCATTTCACTGCCCTTCGATGCACTCACTCTTCAATGCTGCTAAAAATCCAAACATCTGCGAACTGGGAGCGTACCTTGGGACCCACACTAGCGGTCCTCGGATATAAAGGACTATTCCTCCGATTGCCTTTTGGTATTGTATCAACTGTAATTACATTTAATTAAATAAACTAATAAAAAATGTTTTGGAATGGTTAGGAACTCACCTGTGTCCGCATTTAAGACAAAGTTTGCATTGGTCAGCGTTACCAGACCATTATCCTCGCCTGGTTGTGGCTCCAAATGTTGGGTATTAGGTGCGTAGGCACGGATTTGATATTTAAGAAATTCCATATAGTCAACGTTCAGGTCGTTGGTGGCTCCCATAGCTAAGCGCAATGTGTTCTGTTCAACAGCTAAAAGGCCCACGTAGGAATGACGTATAGTTTTGATATTTAGGGTAATATCTTCGCCCGGACTAACCGCAGCAGGGGCCTGGATCTGAATCTGTCAGAATGAGTCGAGTTAACGCCAAGTATTGACTGTACTTTGGACAGCTACTGTTATAGTACTTACAGTATTCTCAGGGCGCTTAACAACAATTGTTCTCTGTGCCACACTCAAGTATGTTTTTGTCGCCTGCATACCATAGATATAGATACGCACGAAGGGCCACATGGATAATGTAAACTGAACCTTTATGTTATAGTTCAATTTGCTGTGGTCTGGAAAAACTCGAGTGGCAGCAATCACGTTCCCATTCACCAAGATCACGCAGATAGCGTAGTCGAAGGCTTGCATCAGCTTGAAATTGAAAAGTTGCGGCGCGCCTGTCGGGATGCCCTTTTCGAAGTAAACTCTAAAGATTCTTAGCTAAAGATTATGGTAAACATTTTGTTGGGAACACCTTACACATTATTCGATGTCTTTGACTTTTGTTGCCGTGCCTTGCCATTGCTTTTCATGTCCATGTCCGCAAAATCGTCTCTAAGCTGCACTACACCTGATTCTATGCTGTCTACGTACTCTCTTTCCTTTGTCACCCCGTCGTCATAGTCGGATACAGATTCGTCGCTTTCGGGGATCTCACCGGGCGACTCGGCTGTCCGCAACTGTCCGTTGGTTGTCAACAGATCCTGCTTGTGTCCGTTGTACTCGAGGAGGGTATAGTATTGGACGGTCTGGTCTGTGTCCAGAGCCTCTGCATTCTGTGGTCGTGTAAGGTTCACTTTAAAATAGACCGCCCCCTTACTGTTTAGCCGTGACTCGTAAACATGCGGAGGTGTGGGGTCTTTTGGATTAGCGGGCGTGTAAAGAAGCTTCACAATCCCATTTTTGTCCTGCACTGCGGTGCCGTTCACATGTTTGATTCGAAAGCCTATAGTACGCTCTATGTTCAACTTAAGATTGCGACAGAAGCCATTGGAGCGGATGCAGCTGATTGTATAGGGATCCCCATAAAGAGTAACCGTTATGCTCCCGTTCTGGCCTACACCGGTGAATCGCTCCTCCACTTGGACTGTGATACCAAGCTGCAACTGCATGCCCTTTGGAATGCTTGCTCCAAGGCTCGTCAAGGGTATAGAGAACTGGGCTTGGCCTCGGTGCAAAAACGCTGTCTTAGTCATCCGCTGTGCACTGTGCTCCACATTCTCATCGGTGTAGGACTCGAGGAAGAGCGTGGCATTACCTTCTACGGGGCCATCATAGCTATAGCGTGCCTGCACATGCACCAGCAGCTGTTTATCCGCGAGGGATAGCTTACGTTGTGACGACAAAAGAACGCGAAAGGGCGGTGCCTGGTACTCGCTCAGCTCGAAGTAGGCACACTCTTCCACTGTGTCTGGACCATTCTGCACGCATATGCGCCAGCGACCAAGCACCGGTCGCTGTCCCAGTTGCAGCTGCGCCTCAAAGACACCCTTGATGGTCCTCATCTGCTTATAAAACTTTATACGATTGCCCTGCGCATCTTCAATCCAGACCACGGCTGTGGTCTCTGGCTGCACGGGCACTAGCAGCTCATCGTACCAGAGGACGCGAAACTGCAGCCTCTCGCCGGGCCTGTAGTGCGTCTTACTTGTTTGTATCTTTTGCAAGTTTTTGAAGTTGTTCCAAAACAACATCGTCTTATTGTAGAACGGTGCGCCAATCAAGCTCCGCACTTGTAACTCGTAGAGCCCGCGCTTTAGCTCCGGCACATTAAACTGGATATACTGAACCGGTTCCTGAGGAGTTAGCTCAACTTCTGCGCTAGCATTGTAGCTGGGTCCGCTAATACGCACCTCGCATTTCGAGCTTTTATTGGAGTTTAGGATTCCCAGAGCGATGCCGTAAGAGCGACCCGAATAAATGCTGCCAGCAGAAGCTATAACATAGTAGCTGTAAAGGGATTGGCAATAGAGTTTGGAGGGTCATTTAGTTCTTCAAATCTAAATAGAGTATTCTCTCGATTAATGTATTGACTGCATTGATGAATTTGCAGGAATTTAGAATACGAACTGACTGCAATAGTTTATTGTTCAGGGTACTCTAAGGGTTATTTGGAAGACAACCCCCAGTTTCGTGAGAGAATCTACTACCATAACAGAGTTCATAAAAGTAAAATAAACTCGTATAGACTAGGGACTAGGAGCGTCTGCATACCAAGTTTGATTTAAGCACGATCAGCCGTTTCCGAAATCCAGGCGTTCATCCAGACAGACGGACGGGCAGACGGACATGTCTAGATCGATTTCGGAGATGCTTCCTTCTGCCTGTTACATACTTTGCACAAACCTAATATACCCTTTTTACCCTACGGGTACAGAAGATTACGACCTCGATGTTGGATAAAGATATGATTTTGGGTGTAGCCGTTCAAATTTTAAGTCTGTTCGACTTTTAAATTCTGACATGATCTGAGTTCAAGCCGGGTTGGTTGCTACCTTTAAAAATGCTTACCCATTGACGCTGATTACTGGTAGAAAGATGCTGAAAATCCATACGCCCAGCTCGGCTAGTCTCCTCGTTCCGTTCATGACTAGTACCAACACAGAACTAAAGCCGTTTTGGGCATAAAATATGGCTTTTCCAGTGATTCGTCTTGCGTTATGCCTCATTCGAGTCCGTTAAATTGCCGTTGTTATTGCAATTAAAATGTAAAATTTAAAGACTCTGCGGGGTCTACAGCTTCATATCGTGGTCCATTTAATTAGCCACACGGGCCAATATTGGCGGCATTAGCAGAGTGCACAAACCTTCTTCAAATTGTGGACCACTTGGGCTAAGTACATGTTGAATGGTGAACGCTGAAGCCTCGATGGTGAGGGAACTTGCTGCAAGTTTGTTTGTTGGCTTCGATGTTGTTTGTTGTGGCAGTCGCCGACGATGTCAACGCCAACATCGTCGTCTGGCCAGCTGGTTGCCTGCGTCCACTCCCGATTGTTGTTGTTGTTTGCTGTTGCTTCTGTGTGCCCTGCGATGTTGTTGTCCTTTAGTTAATAAAGCAGCACTTAGTTCTTGATGATGCTCACCACCCATAGCCATGGCTGGGCTGTTGCTCTTCTTATTGCTGCTTTAGCTACTTATAGTTTTCCTGTCATCTGTGTGTGTGTGTGTATCTGCGTTTGTGTGTGTGTGTGTGTGTGTAGTGGCAGTGATGCAGTTATGCGCATATTCGACTGAATAGCTCCTAGCTGCTTGCGTACACACATATACGATATATGAGAGCTCCCGTGGGTGAAATGGCAAGTTCTTGATCGGAAATATAGCCAGTCTGAAATCATAAAATAGGCTAAAAACTATGTGTCTCTTTTTTTGGCACAACTTAAAAAAATCCACTTTGTTGCACAATATTTGTATTTTAAATAAGAAGCCATTTACGATTTTTTAACTTATGAATCGCAATTTATAATCTTTTCATACTCATAGCAGGATTATCTTTAAAAGTTATTCAGAATTTCGGAAGATAACAAATTACACCTAGCCCTCGTCTAGCACGGCACGGGGTTGCGTTACTCGTGTTAAGCGAAATCTTGTCAAATAAGACATTAACTGCATAGAAAATATGGGACTATGTTCCTAGATTTCCATATATGCACAAAAAAAAGTTTTGCTGTTTAAATTTTCGCTGTTTTAAAGGTCCAAACAATTTCAAAACTGACAAAAAGTAACTCCAAGTGTTAAATATTTATCATTAACAGATTAATCTTATCAAAAAGAAAAATATTTTTAAGTTCAAAAAATGATAAAGCAGTTGAATCTAATATGCAAGATCCAACGCCAATCTCATATATCTAATTATTAGCTGTTTTCGTATTTAAAATTGTTTTGTATTTGTTTATTGACTTTTAAACGATATTTTTAGTGCACCTTATACGGTAAAGTTATTATTCCAACTCTCTGATATGGTCAAGCCTTACTCTACCTACCTCTCCATATGTTTCTCTTCATACAAACTATCCACAATAAATGATTTCTATAATCAGACTTTTCATATGAATTTATTGATTATTTAAATATTTTTTATTTCAACTATTCACAGATGAGTGGAGATGGCTGTGGTTAGTATAGCATTAGTTTTCAATTAGTACGTCCTTCAATTTATATTCAAATGCCAGATTTGGCATTGATGGTGAACTGATTCGAGCCCAGTCAGTTAGCTAGCTTAGTTATTAATTAAAAGTGGGGACCTGCTTAAACAATTCATACTCTCCTCGTCGATACATGTGCAATTGCCTGCACATCATTGGCACGTCACTCATTCACTCAGTCAAGCTGTCAGTTCTCGTTTCAATCTTTCTGTTTTGTGCTTTCGCTTGCAATTGGCATCATTAGCATCGTGTTATCGGAGGGGATCGAAGGCAAAGGATGAGGTAGCATTACATTTGCTTGATTGAACTTGGTGTGTGTGTTTTAGTTTTAGTTTTAGGGGGGGACGCTGAAAGCTTCCAAGCTGATCAGCTCTCTCTCTCTCCCTGCCTGGCTGTCAGTCCAGTTAAGTCAAGTCGTTGATTCTGGCCGAAACAGGGCGATGCAATGCTAAATACACAAAGCTTGACAACCCTGGCCCGCATACTCGTACACGTATATATGTACATTAGTATAGTCTCGTCTAGAGCGGCCGAAGCGCAGCTGCATTCGTAGCATACTTTATGGCGCATGAAACTTAAAGTGCACTTGACAGAAGCAAGAAATAAAGCTGCAAAACAAAATGACGCCCAAGTTATCACTTAATACGCCAACTACGAATGGAAACGAAACAAAAAGGCCAGTTTGCTTTTCAGTTTCATTTACGGATCGCATGCATCTCAATTTGCCTTCTGTATACGAATAACTTGGGAATTGGGTTACAACAAGTCGGCGAGTCAGCGAGTCAGCGAGCCAGTGTCGCAGCGCGACAGCGACTCTATTGACTGCGACAGTGGAAAGTTTGTCGGCTACATTTCCACTAGAAGCCGGCTATGGGTGTCACTCAAAGTTAGTTTGGCCAGCCAGAACTAATCCGGCCACTGTTGTTCTTTCCAAGCATATCAATTAGCTTGGCTTTTGGCCGCACCAGAAAGCCGACTCATCATTTGCATGGAGTACTTAAAATTTCTGAAATGCGCTCATTACCCCCTTTAGAAAGCGACGCAAACTTTACAACTTTCGCCAAAATCTGAGCTGTCTAAGTTAACGATGGTGGATGGTTGAATAGAGGTTGTCGGGGGAGGGGGTGGCATACAAGTATGAAACAATGCACAACGCGCTGGCGCTTACAAAAGCACAAAATGTTTCAGCATTCGCAACAAAACACGAGTAACAAAAACGAGAACAAAATAAAACAAAGAAAGCGAAAAAATTGTTTGAAAAACAAAACTTTTGCTCTTTTAAATTCATTTAAACGCTTTTAGCGCTTTTCACGCCTGGCATGTGAATCATCCATCCCTTTCGCTCCGTAACTTATTGTTGCTTTTTTTTTGGTTTTTGGTGTTTTTGTTCCCTAACTTCAGGGACGTCTCGTGTGCTGCTTTATAGTCCTGATTGCCAACTCTGCCTGCAGAGAACAGTGCGGAGTTTTTGGTTTTGTGAAAAAATTGTCGGATGCCAAAGCCCATGTAAAAAATTGCAAAGTTTTGTTCGTGTAACTGTGCAGCGGTTTCAAATCCGCGAAGGGGATCCAAAGTCGAACTCTAAAGTTTTCTTCCCTTTAAAAAATCCCACAAACGCTTATTGCCACATTATTGTACATATTATTTAATTGAAAAGTTGTAATATGTGATCAGTTGTGCGCTGGGACGTTGTCAAAAGATCATTTTTCATTTTGCTGTCCGCCCCTAGCAGGCACTCCTGCAGCTACAATGTGTGCGATCTCTAAAATATCCTGTTGTTACTCGATTTACAAAAGAATAGAATGTGCTTAGCTTTAGAAATTCCTTTTAAGATAAGATACATAGAACAGGGAAAGTGAAATTGAAGAATGAGGATCTCCCGCTGCAGCAAACTTCCGGTTTTTCGAAAGAAATTGAAAATTGAAGTGCCACCACAATTCCTTTAAAGCATTCTAAAAATGCCAATAGCCACAATATTGTACATATTTTCAAATTGGAAAATTGAAATATGTGATTAGTTTTGCGCAGAGACATTTTCAAAAGATCATTTTTCATTTTGCTGTGCGCCCCTAGCAGACATTCCTGCAGCTGCAATTTGTGCAATCTCTAAAATATCCTGTTGTTACTCCATTTAAAAAATAATATATAATATGTTTAGCTTTAGAAGTTAATTTAAGGAAGAGTAAGATAACTTATAGATCTAAAACAAATGAGGAGAAGAACTGGAAAAGTGAAATGAGAACTGAAAATGGAAGAGTGATGATCTCCCTATTCAGAAAGAAATTGAGAAGCTCCAGAAGCTACCTTCCTTAAACAAATCCATTTAAGTTAGGATCTGTAGGATTGTAGACAGAGCGGTTAGAGCTCGTTTCAATTAATAAACGCTTGGCAAGCTCCCACTATAGATTTATTAAAAACAAATTAAAACCCTCAAATCCCGCTTCAAATAGAAACATATTCTTAAAAATCGAAGCTTCCGAGACTCTGCTCTTTTCCTTTAATTCAATTTAAATTTGTATATAAAACTTTAAGTTTTATGCTGAAAGTTGTTTTTATGGGGAAACAAATGCCTTTGCAGTACGAGTATTTAGGTATAATAGAAATTATTTTGATTCGATTGAGCATTGCTTTGGCAAACTTTGACTGGCAAGAGTGCAACTGTCCTCGTCGACTTAAAGCTGAAGTTAAGCGTCTGGGCCATATTTAAGCCCAAAATGCCGACTAACCAGTCAGCCACGTTCGTAGCGAATGCCAATTGTGCAATTGTTGGAAAAATTCCTGAGCAAAAAACTTGCACGTTGACTTTTCTGTGCTTTGGTAAATCTTACTTTTTACTTGCCTTTTTCGGCTTACGCTCTGTTTGTTGTTGCTGTCTTAATAGGTGTTGGCAATCATGAAGTTGGCTGCGGTTGCAACTTGAAGCGGCGCTGCCGCCCGCCACCCGCCACCCGTCGCCGTCGCCCTCCCTTAGCCACGGCCTTTTCCCGGGTCCTAGACTGCAGCCGGGGCCGAGAAAACTTTTGTTGCGCACTTTTCAGCCCGTGTGCATCGTGACCATTAGTTGCTTTGATGAAATATTTAAAGCTAATGAAGAAGACGGGCACGCTGCCAACTGCCAACTGCCAATAGAGCCTTCTGTCATTTGTGTTTTGTGTTTTGTTTTACAAGCCAAACTAAACTCAACTAAACTCGTTTCGCATTTTAAATGATTTAAATGGAGGCAAAAAGAGATACGGCCCAAAAAAAAAGAAAGAAAGAAGAGGAAAGACATTTGTCAGCTTTACCTGACAGTCCAGAGAACTAACTACCTAGTTCTGTCGATCCATCCTTTCAGCCAAAAGGGTTCAATCAACCTGACAAATTTCAATCAAGCTGCGGTAAAAAGTGGCACACGCTACTAACCAGCCTGTAAGCTCAGGCAGATGCCCAGGCAGAAGGCACACACACACACTCGCACACACACACACACATACTCGCTCGTGTAGTCACGCCACGGCACAATTAGGATGCTGTTGGAGTTTTGTCAATGAAAAGCGTCTGCAACTTTTATTTAACTTGTGAGGCGAGCACGCACAGACAACCAGCAAGGGGGGAGCTTGGTCAGCAATTGTCGACTCGTTTGCACACGCAGGGAGTCCGACAAAGTGACGGTCGAATGGTCCACTGGTGATGGTGCCAGTTCACAGGATAAATGGGTCAAAAAGCCAGAAATTAAATTTAAGAAAATAGCTAAGCGTCCATTTCAGTTGGAAAGTTCGACTAGTAATGTCGTTTTAGCCAAAATACAATTTTCAGGTGTAACAGCAGTAGCTGTTTTGAGTAATGCATGAGAGAGTTACCTTTCAAGTACCAGAAAAGTATTTAAAAATAAGCCTTTTGTTGTGGAAATTACTGGGAAAGGCGAATAGCTTTGCCAGTCTATGCAAAATGTGTTGAGTTCCTTTTCTTTAAAAGATTCTTTGAACTACAGCTTCAGTAATGAAAGAGAAAACTAACTTTATGTAATTGATTTAATAAATAGCACTATTTTGGCACTAGAATGGCATTTTCTAATAAATAGAAAAATTAAACAAAGCTGGGATCCTAAGGACACTGTTGCTCGACTGCCTATAACATTTCCCAAGAATGGAAAATTATTCTTTTCTTAAGTAATCTAACTAGCTCCTATCTAGAATTAATATTTTCCATTTTCTCACTATTAATTTTAGTTTGTTAGGTCAGGAGACCTTAATAGACATAACTGTATGTGCATTTATTTTTAAGGCTGTCTTATCTTTTCAATGATAACGTATTTTTAATCAATATAATTTATTGTAATCTGCATCGACAGCCTATATTTGTTGATAAATTAAATAAATAAATAAAATTCTGAACTAAAAAATACTGAATACTATCCATTATTTACGATTGTTTACCAAATTTATAAATTATTGTAAAATTTATTTTTCTTTCGATAATTATAAGACGAAGAGAATAATAATTTGTGGAATAAAATCTTCAAATCAGATCATGCTTCGTATTCTCTAGTCTCTGCTTAAATTAGGATATCGCGTTTAGGCTCAGAATGTTATTGAACCCCTCTATGCGATAAAAGAACTAATTAATTTTTGATAAAATAAAATAAATAAACAAAAGTCTGACCTAAAAAAATACTGAATACTATCCATAATTACCAAATTTGTAAATAATTGTAAGATTTATTTTTCTTTCGATAATTATATGAAGCCTATATTTGTTGATAAATTAAATAAATAAATAAAATTCTTAACTAGAAAATACTGAATACTATCCATAATTTATGACTGTTTACCAAATTTGTAAATAATTGTAAGATTTATTTTTCTTTGATAATTATAAGAAGAGAATAATAATTTGTGGAATACAATGTTCAAATCAGATCATGCTTCGTATTCTCTAGTCTCTGCTTAAATTAGAATATCGCGGTTAAGTTCAGAATATCATCGAACCCCTCTATGCGGTAAAAGACCTAATTGATGATACGGAGTCAGAAAACTACATAATAAAACTCTTCTCTAGACTGTTTCCAATTTTTTTTTCATTTCTCTTTAATCTTTAATTAATATATGTCACTTAAACTTTATGATATCTTTGACATGCTTCTGGAACGAACTCACATTGTGGGATTCCTGCTAGCTCGTTGAGCTCTGCCAGCCCCATTCCTGCATATATGAGATTGAAAATAAAGGAGGGTGTAGAAAAAAGGCTAAAGCGGCAGCACTTTCAGAGGCACAGCTTGAATTATTTGTAGGAGTAACTTTTGGTTAGAAAGGAGGGCACGTTTAGTCGTACCTGCTTTCTGTCTCTTGATACATAATTGCCCAGGTTGGCTGCAAAGTTGGGCAGATTCACTTAAATTGGTTTTGGTTGTTGGTTAGCCGTGTCGAGGGTGGCGTACACGAGTGGGCAACAAGTTCTAGCAGTGTAGACCCTGCGATAAGGCGGCTCTGCCACCACACATCTCATCATTCATTAGCCGTCGGCGCAATCGCCGAAACGATTGACCCATGCGCTGAACCCAACTGAACGGTTGTGGGGCACAATCTAGACGATTGGCAATAGTTGCGTTGTTTACATGGCCGGCCAGCGAATCGCCCGCTCAGTTTACTGAGCGCAATCCAATAGCACAGAAGCGTGTCAACAAACATGAATAGACTGGAGTTTGTTTTGAGTCTTGTTGTGGTTGGGATCGTACTGGTGCTGGCGAAATCAGAGCAAGCCCTGCCACTAAATGCCAAGGATTTCCAGCTGCAATTCCTGCAATCCATTGCCGACGTGGCCGAGCAACGTGCGGAGCTTAGTCTTAATGCCTATTTGCAGGAGTTGGCTGATACGGGCAGGTATGGGAACTACAGCGCTGAGCTCGCAGCGGCCAAGCAAACCCATAAGCTTCAGGCCAAGGTGGTGTTAATCAAGCAATTGCTGGATGCGCGCGCCGTAGCCGGATCTGTGGAGGAGGATCTGGAGCACACCAGCATGCTGCGCAATTTGGTGTTTTTGCGCAAACTGAAGCAGCAGATGCGGGAAATGCACGAGGCTAGCGCTCAGGAGATAAGACAGCTGCGTTTGCATCGTTTGTGCAAACAGTTTGAGCGGCCGGCAGGCGGCAGTCCATCTGGAGGCAGCCGTTTAATTAACGAGCAAACCTTGAAGGCCGCTCTCGAGCAACTGAACTCAACAAAGAGCAATTCCACGTTGGAGCTGAACAAATTCGGTCAAGATTTGTACGAGCGTGTGAAGGTGAATGGGGCGCAGATCATAGACAACTATTTGCAGATGTTGCGTGGACTTATCCAGGATATTCTGGAAGCAGGACACGGCAATCCACAGCTGTTGAAGGTGCTGAACGATCTGGAGGAGATTCTAGCCATTGGCGACTTGTACGAGAAACGGCAGCGCCTCTATGACTATCTGGAGCGTCATTTGATGGCGGACTACGAGCAAATGAATCCTGAGACTAAAGAGAGAAATTTGGGGGAACTGCTCGATCAATTGAAGTCCAAGGGACTTGATCTCTTCGTCATCTTTCTCTTCAGCAACTTTGAGTTTCTCGAGCATGTGCACGAACAATGGGTGCTGATGTTGCCCCAGACCTCCAGTCTTCTATACGATGACAACACCCGTGAGCTGTACGATATACAGCAGCTCTACGACCGCTTCAAGCTGGACACAGAGAGTGCGCCCAAGTATGAGGCCTATGTGGGTGCATTGCGACGTCTCCACGAACGGACAGTGGAGCAGGGAGACCAAAATCGACATATCTTTGAGCTGCTGAACAACGCGGCACAAAATGTGGGCAGCGTTACTTTTAATATGATCAAGGCCAAGTGCAAGGAGTGGCTTTGAGTGCAAATAAAATTAGCTTGTTGATGTTTTAAGTTCTTAATGGTGTTGGTTTTTGTTGGTTTTCTGTTTCTGTGTCGCTCCTATTCCAGCTTAATTATATTTTCTTGTTGCCTGGCATTTCGTAATATCCGTAATATCCGAGCTGGCGGCAACATGTCATGGCTGCATTGCCATCATCATCGCCCCATCGTCATCGGATGTCGTTTTAATAGCGCTTGGCAACCGGCCTGCCGTTTCTGTCCTTTGCCATTGCCGCATTATGCGGCTGTTGTTGTTGCTGTTGTTTATCTGATGGTTCTGCTGGCAGACTTGTTGGCCCTGGTCGTGGTCCAGCTCTGGCCATCTGGCTGCCACTCCAAAACTAATGACTGCTGCTGTCGCTGTTGCTGTTGCTGTTGCTGTTGGTGTCGTTGGCCAAAGCCAGCTAATTAATTGTCGTCGTTGCAGGTGATTAGAACTTAAATGAGTTGCAACAGCAGCAGCAGCAGCAGCAGCAAAGGTTGCTTGTCCTCGTTAGTATCCAATGCTCCAATGTGGCTCCTCAACTGATAAAGGTAAATACGATACTATAATGACTGGAAATGTGCCCTCACTCCCCCTCTTTCTCTTTCTGCTTCTCTGTAAATATACAACTTCAATTTTGCAATTTTGATGCAGATTTGTGCATAATTTGGACTTGGCTTCCACAAACATGATGAAGCAAACACTTGTAGTATGCATCGTAAATCCATTGGTAGCTGAGTATTCCACAGGATTTGTAGCAAGCATATGCTTTTTAAACACGCATGCCAATAATTTTATTTCATTTTCCTCAATATGTTTAATCGTACAGGGATATAGATTGCCGAATTTCATAAGCATGTCATGAATATACAGGGTGCGCCATCTTTTATGTCGGCATGTAAACATTGAATAGCTTTGTCATTAGTGAACCGATTGACTTGAGTAGACCAGTGTTGAAAACCTCAGTTCAAGAAATTGTACAGAACCAAATTAAATAAAAATATCTCATACTTGAAAATCGGTTGTTTATTTTCAAAGATATTTAATGTTTACATGCCGACATAAAAGATGGCGCATCCTGTAAATCGATAGGAATCCTAAACTAAAATGTAGTTTTCTAACTCCAGAACATCTTTGGGATTCAATTCTTAAAACCCGCTTGTTAAAATGTAAACATTTATATGCAAATGTGCCTGACAGTAATAAATAATTAATAGATTTCAAATTTAACAAATTTACAGATAAGCACCCTCCCCCATCTAGACGAGAGACCCACTTGTTTGTTGCTTTAGATATTCTTTTCTAATTCAACTATCAAAGAACATATACAAGTATGTATATAAACAAAACTTGCTTATAAGTTTCGATTCGAATAACTAATTTGATCGAGTTAAGTGCGCTTTCCACATCTTTCTCGATAATCTTCACAATAACGACTTGACGTAAACATTTTCGTTTTGGCGCCTGTATGTATGTATTTTTCAATTATTGAGGATACTTCGTCATTCAAAGAATGTGAAGCCATACAAGCGGATTCTTGCGTTGTTTGCAAAACCATTTGGGCTTTATTTTCATGTTCACACTCATAAAGAAAGAGATATGGTGCGGCTGGTGCACTAGAAAAACCCGCACCTACCTCTGTTATCTGCTCTCAAACAAATAAATTAATAACACCGAGACACATTCGCTGCTGCCAAGCTGACAAACTTCCAACTGCCAACTTCCAACTGCCAACTTCCAACTACCACTGCCGACTGCCAACGGTTTGCACGCTATTTATCACCTTTAATGCACAGTAAGTTCTCGGCAGTACGAATTAATGCGTCCCATGGGGGGCCTCAAAACAAAGGCTATAACAAGCTGGCTTCACAGTAACTGTACAACAATGGCCAACAACAATGCAATAAAATGCAATTTCACAGAAGCCTGAACTGCAATGGCAGCAGTGGCCAGAAATGGCTGACGGCAGGGCGAGACGGATGTGTGTCCGTCCGGTCGGCCATTTGGCCGTTTGGTGTTATCTCCAATCGGTCCAATCGTTCCACGGCATTCCAAAGGGCACTTGGCGTGAAATGTAATTATGATTTATTGTTTTGTTAGCTCTTTGATGTCAGTGTGGCAATCTCGAGGCTTAAGCTCACACCTCTTTGTGATCATTGTTTGCCACCTCTGTCCTTTTTGCGGGGTTGGTTTAATAACTCTTTTGTCAAACCATGTGGTGTTTTCAGCTGCGTTTTGACGTTCCCTTTGGAAACTCTTGTATTTACGAATTCGGTCAAAAATCACAAAAGGAAATAAACATAACGACTGGTCAGTGCGTTTTGATAGCCCCACTTGCTTCATAGCTTCCGTTTCCGTGAGGCTTTCAAAGTAGGTAGAAATAAAACGTTTCATTTGAATGAAATCTACTTTCGAACAGCAACTTTTTGTTAAAAGAGATGACACTGAGCAACATTTGGGGAATAAGGCAACAAATCGAAGCGTAAATGTTAAATTTATTATCTATATTTCTAGACTAATATTTAAAGAGGACAAATTTGAGTCTTTGTTTGGATTGAATAGCCTCCAAAACTACTGGACCGATTTAAAGAATTAATTAACGGGTGACATAGGCTATATTATATTTGCAAAAAAAAGGGATCTTTACTAAAACGCCAATAAGGTAACCCAAGGTATAAAAAATCCTAAATTCCTAAAAAGTCCCTATATCGCGTGAGTTGTGAAAATAATTGATGACAGAACAAAGTAAACACATCGTTATGTATCTAACTATTATCGATATGTCATAATAAGTGCAAAAACTAGGGGAACTTAAGCAGAAATTCTGTCATCCTTCTGGATGAGCGAAATATCTCATGATTTAGAAATCTCAATTAAAAAGGAATTTTTTGGTTGTGTTTTAACGCTGTAGGAATGATACCGTCAACGAAATAAACAATCTGATTATTCAAAAAGTCCCCGGCCAAATAAATAATTTCTAATCGATCGACACCGTGACTAATATCGAAGACACAGTCCATTCTCCACAGGAATTTTAAAATTCACTTAACCCTTCATGAATCTGATCTGGCAATCCCATTTAAATCGTTTCAATATCCGGTAAAAATGTCTTTCGCGTTAACTATTAAGAAGTCCCTAGGCCAAACCTTCGAATTAGTAGGAATCGTGAATGTTTTACTCATTAAAAAAAATAAATTTATTTGCTGCCACAAAATAAAACAACGTCAAATAATGTTTACATTTTTTAAATTTTTGTTAAATACCTGTGCGATGCAGCGGCGAGCCGCTAGTGGATAGATAAGAATGACAGCAGTCCATTGAAAGACGTTGCTATGTTTCAAAATTTCAATAGCAGTACCTTAGAATTTCTTACTACATATTGAACTACCCTCGTATTTTTTAAATTGCTTGTCTTGCAATAACTTAAAAGCTACTAATGGTGCTGTGCATAATTCATCGATGCTTTAGTACCGCCCAGCTGTCAAAACTTCAGATAATCGCCTTGGTCATGCCCTTCTATGTTTATTGAACTTTTAAGTGGGAAACATAAAAATAAAGCCTCAAACGTTGCGCCGCTGTACTCCTAGCTATTTTTGGAGTAGTTCCCTCCACTTGGAGCTGAATACAGTCACGTTTTGGAATTGTGTGGGGTGAAGTATTTATAGAAAGTCTGCTGTCAAAAGCGTCTGAGGCTCGAGTTGGGGGAAACATAAACACAAATTATTTTCGACGCACTAATTGAGTTGTACGCTAATTATCTGGTCCTGTGTCTTTGCAGTTATCAGCGAGGATCCCGAATTCACGGACGTCATTGACAACATAACCGTGCCTGCGGGACGCAATGTCAAATTGGCCTGCTCGGTCAAGAATTTGGGCTCTTATAAGGTAAGTACACTTCCATAATACATACTATACATAATTGCTTAAAGGCGAAACAAAAATGAGAAATTATAATTAAACACAAGAATGTGACAAGCACACAGCACAATCCAGGCCCAACAAGTTCTAATATTTTGGCGCTGGAAGTGGGGTGAGGAGGAATATTCGTAGCTAACACTATACAAATAAAAACAAGTCCGAACATGCCAAGCCAAGGGCTGGGCAGCAACAGGCGCCTCGGGTCCATCGCATGCCTCGCATTGAACTTGTTGACTTGCAATGCAAGTTTGCTTTGACTTGGACTTGTGTTGTTGCTGTTGTCGTTTGTTGTAGTTACTTTAGTAGTTGCTACTGCCATTGTTTGTACAAAACATTGTGCGTTCGTGTGTTGCCTGCTTTGCTCCGTTTCCAGTACTCAGCGCCAGTTCGAGCAGCAGTAGCTAAAGTTGCTTTAATTAAGTCATTTAAGTAACTTTCTGTACGCTGCTGTTCCATTTAATCAAGGCAACGGGACTCGCCCTTGAACGATTCCACAGACCGTTACGTGAAGCCTAGTCTTTAAAAAAAAATACAAGTACGCTGTAAATGTCGCCTACAAACTGAAGTTCCTAAGCAGAGTGCCCATCAATAAAAATTAGAATGAAAAATGTGCATGTGCCTCTTTTATTCAGTCTTTTCTTACTACTGTGAGCTCAGAATAAATGTAACTTTTTGTAACCGCGTACTCCTAATTTTATTGTTTTAAAATTTTAAATTAAAAAAAAAAATAATTGGCTCCATTAATATTGATAAGTTTGATATTTTCTAACAAAGAGATTCTTTCTAAGCAACAACCTGCGTTCTGCAATTTATAAAGTAATTTTATTTCAAAGTTTACGAATTTTATATTTTAAAGAATACGTCAGCTTGGCCGAATTTAAAATTTGGTTGTTAATATAAAATAATTTATTATTTTGATAAAGCCATTGCAATTGCAATTCCCATACTTAAAGACTTCTTAAAGCCATACTGCCAGTCTTCTCTATGAATGTTTTTAATTACTATTTAAAGTATTCTTGGCCAATGCCACATCTGCGACTATAATTTGAAAAAATATGTTAGCTTGGCAGAATTAAAAATCTGGTTTTGAATATAACATAAATTAATTTGATAAAGCCTTTATAGCAATTTCCATACTAAATGACATCTTAAAGCCTTGCTGGCAGTCCTTGATATTCCTCATTAAAGTTATGGCTTTTTAATTATTATTTAAAGCATTTCTGGCAGTTCAAACCAGGAAAAAATGTCGTAGAGTGCCATGTAGAGTACTGAAGATTTGAAAAAGATGTGAAAACGGTCACCCAACACGTCACAAGTCAGTGTTGTCCACTAATCCACAGCCATTACCTCGAGCAAATGTATTAGCCATGCTAGGCACGTTTCCCAAGTTCTGGTGTATGTGTGTGTGTGAGTGTGTGTGTGTGTCAGTGTGTGATGTGCGTGTGACTGTCACGCCCACTCATTTAGTGCGCCCCGCTGCTATTGCTGTCATTGTTGTTGTCACTCTTCCTGCTATTTGTTGTTTTTGCTGTGCCTCAAGCTGAGCCACTGAGTGCATGTGTTAAGCTACAGACTCGCTCATACCACATACACACAACAGATAAGCCAGAGCAGTGAACCGGTGAGTAGGTGGCGCCACCTCACTCAATATTCATTGTCTCCAGCATTGAGTTTTGCATTTCATGCGGCATACTTTTAGGCTGCGCTTAATATGCATAGCCGCTTTATGTGCGTGTGGATATGTGAGTGGGGTATTGGGGGTGGCAGCAATTTAAATTTGCATCGAATTGAATTTCCATAATAGCAAAAATCGCGCGAGTGAAACGTGCATAAATTTCATTTGACATCGACACTGAGTGCAAAGCACAGCAACCGCATTACCAACAAATGGCAATAACAATAAATACAACTACAACAACAGCAGCAGCGGCGGCAGCGGCGGTAGCAGCAGCAGCACCAGCATCATCAGCAGTTGAGAAAACGGAGAATGTGCTCGTAATAATTTTTATGATATTTCGCCTGACAAAACTTAAAGGACAGCAGTTGTTGCCACAGGTATGCTCATTGAAGAAAAGAAAAACAAGTACAAGAGGCGGCTTCAGGCACCAGCAGCAGCAGCAACAGCAGCAACGACAACAAAACGCAGCGGCAATAAAACGTGACTTTGCATGCAAAATAGTTGCGTAGCCGTCGCGTGCGCCCCATGGTTGGCTCTGGAATTGATTTTAGCCCGGCATCGGGGCATCGCCGTCGTCTGCTCGCCTACTCGCCTGCTCTACCTAGCCGCGGCAGTTGGCAAATATTTGAGCTGCGTGTAAATTAACTCGCGCACTTGGATGGTCTTTTAACACGTTTGCTCTTAAATTGTTAATATTTGTATACGGCAGCCATTTTTAATTTGCTTAAGTTGCCAAGTGGCTGTGTGTAGACCGCCCAAGGCTGTTGCTTGTCGTCGCCGTGACTTATTAATATGTGTTGTCTTTATGTGAGTGTGTCTGTGTGTGTGTGTGTGTGTGTGTGTGTGTGTGTGTGTGAGTGTGGTGCGTTTGTTTGTATTTCAATTTGCACACACATACACCAACAAGGAAACTATATCGCACATACTCTTAGACGAATGTATGTACGCCTACAAAAACAAACACCAAACACTTACGCATACAAAACAGTACTGAAGAAAACAACATGAGCATAAGTTTGGTTTGTTTATGAACGCACTATGCCTAACCCATTCTCCTCTAGATTTTCCTCCCTCTCTCTCTCTCCATCTCCCTGGGCAACTGCCGCTTGCTGGGCCATAAACATTTTCCAGCATAATAAAGTGTGTTTGTGTTTATTTTGTTTCTGTTTGCATGTACATATGTACGAGTATGTGTGTCTGTCTGTCTATCTGTGCGTGTGTCTGCGTTTGTCTACTGTCTTGGTAAATTTTCTACTTCTTTGCTTTGCCAGCAAGGCGTGCAAAGTTTTTTTGTACTCGTAGTTTCAGTTTTAAAATTTTATGACTTCATTTAGTGCTTTGTAGTGTAGTGTAGTGTAGACGTTGATTCTGTTTCAGCCATTACGCAAATTGCCAGTTTGTCTGTTGTCTTGTTTTGCTATCGACTGATGCCATCGGCAGAAGCCACATTGGCATTGTAGCCTGAGGAAATTTAGATAAATATGATCAGATTTGTAGCATATGCATTTCAGCTCAGCAACGGCAGGGTGGGGTGGGGCGGACCGGGGCCGTGTGTTGCGTGCGAAAACAGATAAGTGGATATGCCAAAAATGGCGAAAATGAGATTTTTGTTAAAGCTGAGTATTCCTGATTATTTTGCAAGAAACAATGTATACGATAGCTATCGGTGCCTAAAATGTATTTCGTTTAAAATTGAAAGTTAATATCAGAATGTAAATTGGTTGCACTCCCAATGCTTTCAAAACTGTATGTGGGGAGCTTGACAATAATTGCTATCCATGTTTAAAATTTACAAAATTTCCTTATTTAATTTAAATTATACATAAATAAATAAATTTGAAATATACATAAATATCTCAGAAAAATGAAGAATATTTAACTTATTATTAACAGGCAGACATTTTTAATCTTTATCATAATACAGCAGCAGTATTTGAACTTCAAATACAAACTTCGAAAGTCATTAGAATTATATTTCAAAATGATGTATGTATGTTGTTTGAATACAAGTATAAGAATCCAACATTCAATTGAAAGTTTGCTCCATTCGAGTAAATTTTTTATATATCCAACTTTATTGAAAATAATTCAATTTAAATCAAATAGTAAAACATTCTGATTAACAAAAACAATGAATAAAGCAGAACATGTTTTATTTCCTTCCTTTTTGTTTTGAATTTTTAAAGAGGGACGTGTACTTTTTTTCGTAACTATCGACAAAATCTTTGCACAAATCTTATATTCCAACTAATATGCTCCAAAGATAAATGTATAAATTAAAAGGCAATTTAATTCGTTTATATCATACTTCAATTCATATTTGAAACTTTTTTATAACATTATAAGAAATCAAGCCCCGTGTTCATTTGCATATTACTCTGTAATAAAGGCCGAGAAATTGTTGCAATAAAATGTAATTTAAGTCCCAATTTGGCGTACAATGCAAAAGGAAAAAAATTAACTCTTACGCCCTGCCTATAAGTTCTATTACCATTTCCTTAATTTTTTAATAAAACTCCAATTAGAAACTGAATAACTGCCATCACCGGGCTTGGAGTTAAGACTCTCCTTCCGCCTTCCACATCTCTGCAGTGGATAAAAGTTTATCATCAACTGCCGTAGATCTCTAAACGGATGACCCAGTATGTTAATAGCAAACTCATATGGGTACCGGGACACCGGAAAATAGAGGGGAACTGTATTGGGAACTGCCGTATGTATCCTTTCAGGCAAGGAGAGCATTGATTTTCCGAACAAAACTGACCTGGTCAGCTCTGGACACCAAAGGAATATAAGCTTCGAAAGCAAAAAAAACGTTAGAAGTTTCCTTGATATTGACAGATTATATGGAATCACAAGGCCTAAGGCCAACCGTACCAGCCATCGCAACCTAACGTAGCTTACAAACCACATTTTGTAATAACCCAGATAGTTTGGGTCGTCAAGGAAATTAGAAGTTAGAATAGAAAGCGTCAAGCCAACAATAACTAAAATGTCAGGGAGCATGCTTAAATGTTATATTCAGCGTAAGTCTGCCTTTAAATTGAGAACGACTTTGTAACGTGCGGTAGCTACATTTTCATTAGTTTATCATGAACTTCAAGTAAATCCCAACATACTAGGCAAGCAATTTGTTGCAACTGAGTCCATTGTCATAACTTGAATTAGGCAAACTCAAAATTGAAATTCATGCAAGCTGTGGCCTGAAAGTTGAGTGCCAGCCTCGACAGCCATAGTTAGGGATGCTGCTGTAGAGCCGCTCACTAATCCTAGGCAGGTAGACGGCTGCGCCAACATTGCCATTTATCTGTGAATGGACTTAAATATGCGTAACATTTTAATAGCACACTCGGTCCTTAACAAAAAAGTCAAACGATAAAAAGTCAACCAGAGAGTGCCTTGACTTTCAAATGCTCTGCTGACATTTGACAAAAATTATTAAGCCAAAAGTCAGAGGGCAAGTTAACCAACCCACTAACACACTCAGGAGTGTGACATTTGGCGCATTTGAGCGCCATCTGAACTGCACGGAAGCCCGTACTGCAATGTGTCCATGACTGGTCAGGACGCTGCGGCTTTTCAACATTTTTGGTTGCCCTTACATGAGCCTAATTAATTTCATTCAAATGACCCCAAAAAGTGTTTAGTTTTGCTCGTTCGTTCGTTCGTTCGCTCTGTGTCCGTGTGTGTCTTAGAGATGAGTGTCAACGAGTTTAGTTTAATTTCACGGCGTCGTCTCACGTGCGGAATTGAAAAAATTGTAACAGCTTTCATTTCAAGAAATATTAGATATATCCATTTATTGAATCATTGCAAAGACTATGTTAAGCATGTATATTAGAAGAGCTGCCTTTTCCAAAATAGGCGCAAATTATTGCTGAATATGTGGATTATATGCGTGGACCGATTTCACATAATTTGATCGCATTCAGATGTAATATATGTATGTATATAGGTCCTGAATATACTTTTATTTTGACTGCAAATATATGTTCACTTTAAAATTAAATCTAACCAATATACATATTCATTAAATTTATTATTATTTTTTGCTGAAAAAAGTTTTATTTTGACTGCAAATATATGTTCACTTTAAAATCAAATCTAACTAATACACATATTCATTATAATTATTATTATTATTTGTTTAGATCTTTAACCTTTATTTAAGATCTGGCCTAGGTAGGACAATTATTAAATTTTACGATAAATTTTCTAAATCATGCTTCTGTTATGCTGGCAGCGACGAGATTCGAACCGAATCTTAAAAAGAACGTACTCACATTAGGACTAGCTCGCTCAGCTATGCCAGGCCCCACAAATTAATTATAAATTTCAACAACAGTTCGAAATTAAGGTTGGCTTTTGAATATAATAATAGCTCCAAGTTTTTGTCACAACTTTGCATTACCTAGATGTACACGATTTAAATGCCCAGATAAGGTTTTATAGTATAACCTGAACTCTTTGTTGTTTACAAATTATGGAAACACACAAATTAATGAGCCAATTTTTGTGAATAAATGAAATGAAAAAAAAAGTGAATGAAAATACTCGGAATAGTTCTCATGCTTCGATTTTTTCTAAAATGTTTAATGTTTTATCGAAATGCAATCTGTTTGTACTTAAACCAGCGAAGGCCTGAGAAACTATGGCCTTTTCACCCGCCATTAATAGTACATTTGTATTGCAATATAAGCTTTAGCAACAATTCTCGAAAGATGTCAGTTGTAGTTTTATTCAGTAACAAAAATATACAGATTTGTAGAACTAATGACTGTTGAAGCTCACGATCATCAGCAGAAGTCCTGCCCTAGTGCATGAGTGCGTGCGTGTCCTCAAATGCAAATACAGCATAATTTGCGGCAAGTTTAAAGTGTCAGCCATTTCGTTGTTTGGAATTTAGACTTTAAAAAATAGAACACACACAGCTGTGCAGCAACAAACAAAGTGCAAATGCAGTTTTATTGATTTTAAGTGCATACGCAGCTCCAACTCATGCCGCCCTACCTACAGCACTTGATAAACGTGGCTTCATTAATATTTGACTTTTTTTGTTGATGCAGCAGACGAGTGGCGAGCGTGGAGCGACGGAGCGAACTGGCAACTACTTAAGCAAACTACAGCTGCTTGATTTTTATTATGCTGGAAGCCAAAGAGCAGCAGAGGCTTGGCAGACAGCGACTGGCAGGCGAGGCAACAACAGGCGAAGGCAGTCAGGCAACAGCCACCTAGCCAGCCAGCCAGCCAGCCAGCCAGAAAGTCAGCCAATGTAAATAAGCGCAGTGCCAGTGAGGCTTGCTCCTCTGTCCATGCTCATACCCACACCCGTACCCATGCCGATTTCCATTTCCAGGCCCTTCTCTTAGTCTTATAGTCGGTCCAGCTGAGAGCCTGGATACGACAGACTGCCTGCCTGCCTGTCTTCGTCTGCTTCAATCGCCGGAGCATTGCAGACATTGAAAAATTAACTGATATCTGTCTATGTTGCTGACACTGTGCTGCCAATGGAACTACCACTATCCTACACTAGGTCTGACTTTGGGGATGGCATTCAACACATCTCAACTCAACTAACTTAGGCAACCGAACGCCGTTCAGCTCAGCTCAATCATGTCAGTGCGACTGCGGCGGCAGAGTCGTCTTATAATGGGGCTTTTGATTAGGCTTCGAAAATGTATGCTAAATAATTCCTTTCTAGTCTTAAGTATTGCAGATGACCGTTGAGCTAAATAGGTTGGTTTCTCAATACCAACATCATTTAACCTGTTACAGGGAACAGTTGATTAGCTGCTTAACTGCCAACGATCAAGTTCTGCAGACATTTTATTCAAATTTGAAAAAATCATAAGCTTTTTTTTTGAGAAGATCCTAATTATGCTCTAATATATGTTTAGGATATTATTTATTTATTGAATCACGTTTTTTGAAAGCTCCTTTCTTTTTTATGGTTTCTTTCGAAATTATTTTAATGAATCATTTCGGAAATAAAACGAATAAATAACGAACGAAAACAATGCATCTGATTCTGTATGATTTAAAAATGCCTAACACTTCATGTCTTTAATTTTGATAACACTAACTTAATTTAAATCATTCTCTTTTGAAAAATATCACTAAGGTACTTAAAATAAAAGTTTATTCATTTTAGATATAGATTTTTCCAAGAGGCAACTATTGCTAGATGTATTTAATATGATATGATAGATATGATAGCCCCCCTTATTCGCGCCTCTGCTTTGCAACCAACCCTAGAACTGGTCCCACATTTTTTTCTCTACTACTCGTATTCCGTGAGTTGTTGCTGCATTGGTGCTTTCTGTAAAAATTTATCATTGAAATGGCATCGCTGTCAATGTGTTTTTGTTTGTTCGTGTGCCGCGGCAACGTCTTGCGCTTAAATTTGCATAAATTGTTTGTTGTTCTACCAGAAGGCAGCGGTGGGGTGTAGCGGGAGGAAACTATTGCCTAAGCACAGGCGTTGCCTGATGGTGGTCATAACGAACGCCTCATAGCTGGGAAACTTTCTTGCTGCACGCAGCGGCAGCTGTCACATGTGATGGCATCGCCAACTTTGGCAATTTGACCGAAGACAGCGTTAATCCTTCATAAAAATTGATGATGATAGGAAAAAAGTTGGCCAGCTTCGGCTACAGTTTTAGCTCCAGCTGTAAAAGTTTGCTCCCGAAAAGATGAAAAGACAATAAAACGAGAATTTGTCGTCTAATGATGGGGCAGCGGCTGGCTAATAAATGATAATTTGATGTTCGTGATGAGCGATTTATAAACAACTATTAATATGCACTCACTTCTCACTGTCTCCCACTTTCCGCTTCCCACTCTTTTCACTTTCACTTTTTCTCACTCTTTCTCTGTATCTGCATATTTACAGGTGGCGTGGATGCATTTTGAGCAGTCAGCCATCTTGACGGTGCACAATCATGTGATAACGCGTAATCCACGCATTAGCGTGACGCACGACAAACACGACAAGCATCGCACCTGGTTCCTACACATCAACAACGTGCAGGAGGAGGATAAGGGGCGATACATGTGCCAAATAAACACGGTGACGGCCAAAACCCAATACGGCTTTGTCAAAGTTGTCGGTAAGTTGCCTTTGAGTTGTCAACTGAAACTATAGTCTTTACCATAGCCAGCCAACACGCCGACCCGCCAACTCGAAATCCCGCTCCGCCACTGACACTTGGCATTGAAAAGCCGGCAATCGTCTCAAGTTGCACAAAGGCGGGAATCGAGCGGCTGACAGTTGTGCATGCTGTGCCCAACACACATGTCTTTTGCATATTTCATTTCATTTGCCAGCAAGGCGCTCCGCTTAGGAATTAGCAGCCCTTGACAAGATGTCCACTGAGTCGACTTTGTCAAGTCGGCCGCACACATAATGAAATTCCACTCAGAACACTCTATTAGAGGCGAATATACTGGCCCACCCCTTTCTTTCAGGAAGCCAAGTAAACAACTTACGGCCTGCAGAATTTTGTTTTCTCGCCTGCCCAAAAAAGTATGCTTTAAAATATTTGTATGCCCCCACCATGCAAATGGAAGCCCCAACACACGTCCGATGCCTGACATTTTAGCATGAACAATTGCATTTGTGTGCGTGTGTGGCTGATTTTGTTGTTCATTTTTCATGTGTGTGTGTGTGTGTGTGTGTGTGTGTGTGTGTGCGTTTGTGTACACCATGTCCACGTTGACTGTGGACTATGTGGCCAGGCCAGCGTGGACAATGTGCCTGCCAACACTTGACAGTCGCTGTGACGCTTCAGCGCATCGTGTGTGGGGGCCATGCAAATACCCTTTCCCTGTCGGCCATCACGAATTAAATGGTAATTTGCAATCTTCTTAAGCTTTATTTAATATTTAAAAAAAGAGGTGCTAAAATCATTAAAAAAAAAAAACATGTTCTTAATAGTTCCCTTGGCTAAAATCTAAATCTAATCTTTATTAAAATTGTAAGCAATTCGTTCAAAAAATAATTGTTTAATGTGCAAAGTGACAAATCGAATAACTTTTCTGGGAACCTCCAAATATTTCAAATAATCTATACAGTTTTAAGTCCGTTTTTGCTTTTTCGACAATTGTGATTTTGAAGAGACTGACATGGGTTTTCATTTTCACCTAAGTCGTCAAATCCTACTAACAATTTGGCTCCAAGTCCATGAGTGTAGATGAGCTTTTACCATAAGACTGTTTGTTACATATTAAAGGATTGATTTAAATTTAATTCTGTTTATAATAACGACGGGTAGATCTATATTCTAGGTTTTTCGTGGCTAACACCATAATAGCATATTCAGGATAATTAAAAGTTAGTTCCATTCCTCCTTTAGTTCTCCCTTTCCTTGAGTGCAGCTGATCTTCTATCCCAAGACTATTTTTTATTTTTCTCGTATTGATTAATAATTTTTACTAAATTCGTAGACAATAGTAACAGATATTAGTCAGTTCGTATGCTTATATGTGTAGCGTATGAAAAGTGCGTCTACGAGTTTGTTGTAATTATTTCGACATTTTTATCCATCCATATGTTATCTGTCTTGTATTTTTTTGTTGCTGTTGCCATACAAAATTGTAACACCCTGGTGGTGTTTTTAGCTCTGTGATTGCATTTTCAAAAAGCCGTTAAGCACGCTTCAGTGTTGTAAAATGTTCAAATAGCACGCTTCACACGCACAGCCAGCAATTTGATGCGGCGTGACCAGCGCGGACACTTCTAGGACGTTACACGGATTTTGTGCAACGTTGTCACCATATCGTGTATTTTTTTTCGACCATGCACACACGGTGCTTACGTTTATCTCACACATGTGCAGACACACTCACACACGCACACACACACGTGGCGCTCATGCACGCTGCTGCTGATGTGGCAAAAACGACAGCCTGCGAATGCGAGGCAAATTTACAGTGAAAAATATGACAACTCTGGTCGTGGCTGGGAAAAAACTAAAAAAAAAATAAAACATCCAGTGAAGGGAAAAAATATATGAGACAACAAAAAAAATTAAAATATGCCGGCGGCAGTTTTGACCACACTTGCAACTTTTTCAGCGCTGCGTGCCACGGTCAAAATTTAACAGAGAAAAAATAGTAAAAGCCTTGCCCGTCGGCGGCCTAAGCTCAGTCCGCTGGCCCCGATTCATGAAAACTGCTACGTGCAGCATATGTGCACTATGTCCATATCCACATGCTAATGTGTGCACGAGGGGCGCAACAGGGTGACCATACTTGGCCCTCACATACAGTTTAGGTATTTCTAAGCAGAAAATATATAGAACAAATGGAGTATGTCCCGATTCTTGTTTTAAAGCAACACTATAATTTTATATACTTAATTATTTATGATATGTTCATTTTGTTTAAAATATTTAAAATAAAATTAATTAACTTAGAGCCTAAAAGTACATTTTTATAAAAAAGGTAAGCATGGATCAACAATTTCTTTAAAAGAACCGACCAGATTTTAAATCAATTTAAAGCAGCATTGTAGGATGTACATTTTTATTAACTATTCGGCTGAGACAAAAATGTTTTTTAAAACGTCTTCTGTAGTCTTTTTATAAATGAAATATTTTTATTATTGAAAAAGTACACTTTAGAAAATAATACCTCGCCTACTTACAGTTCTAGACGACGATATATTGAAGTGAAACAGAAATAGACAATTTCAAGAACGCTTTTACTATAAATGGATCCTTCAGACTGTTTGGCATTCCTTGTCTAAGGCAATTATGGTCACCCTAATGTGTATGGAAATCTAAATGTGTGCGCTAGTGTGAGTGTGAGAGTGTGTGTTGTGCCCACATTTGCATGTCGCTGCTGTGTCTGTTTGGCCAGTCTAACTGTTGCATGGCATAGCTTTTTGCTCGGCCTCGCCGCCGTTTGTTTGCGCACATATTTTTCAAGTTTTGCCACAAAAACTGATTTATGTGCAATGCACAGTTAGACGCACACGCACACCACACACGAGGCCAAGCTGAGCAAGAGACAACGGTCAGCATGTGCATGAGCGCCACCTATCGACCATTTCTACCCGTACAACTTTATGAGTGTCCCACACTGTGTTCCCTGTCTATGTTTGTCCACCGGATGATGTTGATTTGTCAACTTGAAAAGCGGATCTCGTGCAAATTCTTACATTTCCTTCCCGTTCGCTCGCCCATGCAGGCGCAGGAGCTGGCTCCCACAGGCCCGTACACAGCCAATAAAAAGTTTTCGACCAAATGTTATTAGATTTATATGCCAACTATTGACTTTATGCAATTTGAGTTGATAAAAATTTAAAATTGCATGCAAAATATGAAATCAGAAGGCGGTAAAAAATAACACGAAAATTGTTGCCCGAAAATAGTCAAATAGTCAAACAATCAACAATGCAAATGGGAAAATCAAAAACAAAAACAATGGCACGAAACATTTTTATCGTGCATTTGCTCTGGTTTACCTTTTTTTATTGTGCTTCTTTTTCCAAAAAAAAAAATATCGACTATGAATTCCTTTTGTTTGCATCCAAAACAAACCTCAAACAATTTGCGGCATGCATGTCGCACAACTCGCTTTTTGATGTGACAAAATGTATGGGGCAAGTGGTATTTCGTTTTGATTATACGTAAATAATTTAAGAATTTCGTTTCCACACATACAGAACGTTGACATGAAATGCTGTTAATATTCAAATTGAGTAGAATGAGCAATTGCAATAGTTGTATTTGTTTAAACAAAGTAAAAAGTCACTACCAGGTCTTCAGTACCCAACTAAAATTAATGATATTCAACACTTAAGAGTGTGAATGAATCTTTATAGTGGAAAAGTGCTTAACTATGGTTTGAGTCTAGTTTTGCAACCACTTTCAGGGTTTGAAAAAAGAAATTGGGCTTACAATTGCGGCATATATGTAAGAGACTAGACATTATTAATTTGCAATTCGCAGTATTGTTGATGAATTAATTAATTATTAATGCACAACAAGTATTTAAAAATAAACAGGACTTCTTATAAATATCCCTTTCTTGTGTTAGTTAAAATAGAGATGACTTGATGGGCCGTTTGTTATTATTTGCCTAAGATGTGAATTTATTAAAATCAATCAAAAGCTCTGCACAAGTTGACTGATAAACAAGAATTGCTCACATCGGTCGACACTTGTGACTGATTTTTTAAATAAATAATTCCACATAATTTTCAGCGACCACCATTTTTTTTTAATAGAATGTACTTTCAAATAATATAAAATATTTGTTTATATTAAGTGTATTTTGTACTCCAAGAACTACAAATAAATCTATTTGTAACACTCTTGATAAAAATGATGACTGTCATTGCAAAAAGAACTCTATAGAATTCTAAATATTTTAGTTTAGCTGGTCATGACCAGCGGGAGTATTCATTTAAAATTAGAGCCTCAAGGACATTGAGTATAAAGAGCAAAAGCTGTGCAAATTCCAATTAAAGTACGCATTGATATTACATTAAAGTTGTTGTCGCCGATGGAATTTGTTGTGATTTTAATAGTGATTTGTCAGCACATTCAGCACATCTAAACGATTTATCGTATTGCAGCTTTGCAATTATTTTTGTACGTACGCCGTTCTATGTACATACATAGACACGAGTATAATTTGCAATGCTATGTGATGCCGAATGATGACATAACAATATCTCGTTATGCAAACTGGTTTAATCTAATTTCATTGGATGGCATTTAGTCGAATTTCCTTTGGAGCCACATTCTTAATTCCATACTCAAATGCAACATTATAAAATCACATAAAATGCATTTCATTTACATGACAAATCCAATTAAAAGTGCAAAATTAAATGGCGTGCAATGCCGGCAAGAGAATAATAAAAAAAAAAAAAAAAAAAAAAAACTGCTGCCTAAACAACACACACACGCCCACCTACATGCCCCGTGTTGCACTCGATGAACGAACAAACGCAGAAGAGGCAGTCAATTTAACAATTTAAGCGCAACAACAACAAGGACAATAACAGCATGCATAATTACATTGTGCGGCAAAATTTAATGAAATTAAAACGTTGCATTTGTCGTCTAAATAAAAATGCAAGGCCCGGAAATATAACAAGCAGAATGTTGTCAGGCAAGCGAGTAAATAAATAAATAAATTTTGGATAGCGCGAGGGCAACATTTTTGTAAATTAAATTGCTGAGTGCACAGCGCACTCCAAACGAAACACACGCACAAGCACACGTACAAAACGAAATTACAAAATGGCGGCACAAACAAACATTAAACGCGTTTGAATTTATGAGCCACGCATACAAAATGCATTTAAATGCAGCCACAAAAGCTGCGGCACAGACACCAGCACCAACACCGACAACGGCACCCAAATGTCCGCGGACTCGGTCCACGTCCGAGCGCCAACAAAATGCAAAACAAATGCAGGCCCAGCAAAGCAAACAACAACAAGAACCGGCGCGGGGGTCTCATAATTTTTAATTTTTGCGCTCACATAATGAGGCAATTTATTAAATTCAATTATTTTGTTGACATTAAAAAGAGTGGTGTGCATTTATTTTCGCTTTTGCGCTATGTTTCATCCCCATTTCCGTTCGTTCTTGCCCGCCTCTGTGCTTATTGTTGGCCATGTAGCACAACGGTGCGTATGAGTAACTTTTGTGCAGCCACAAAATTTATTGGCCAAATGATAAACTGAACTGCTCGGCGCAGGATATGAAGACTAATTGCCGTTCATTAGACAGCAAAGGAAGCGACCGCCAGGACAATTGGCGTCGGCCATATGCCACATTTTATACGTGACAATTTTACGTTCGCCAAGATTTAATACGGTGAGAATTCGGTATAGGAAACAAGCAAAGTTGCATTTAAATTATATGTGCAATAAGCTCTTAAATGTTCTTTAAATATTTTCATTGCTTTTAAGAAGTGCGAAAGGAGGGGGTTAGGTTTGGTTGAGATGCCATAGAGATGCCTGGGTTTGTTAAATCCTCGCCGTTTTCAACCACCGGTGGTTGATTTAGGAAGGATTGCCCTTGAGGAACAATTCGAGGCCTGCTGGACCATAACAGAGCCTCTTTTCTTCGGCTTTTGTTATCCCTCCCGTTAACTAATCCGCTTACTAATGAAAATATTTGATGCAACAATTGTCATGGGAGTATTGAGACTTACAAGACTTAATCAAATAACCAATAACCAATCTCAAATCTCCCTTAAGTTTATTAATGGAACCTCCATACTTATATATTAGACTCTACAAGCTGGACGCTTTCGACCATTTTCCCCTTTTGCGCAAGGACAAGAAATTACACCAAATTCGTTATAGTGAACGTACACTTTATTGTTGGCTGTTGGCATTCATTAAATAAATTGGCGCTGTCCTGCCAAAAGTTGCCAACTCTTACAAGAAATTACAACCAAAAACAAGAAAGGAATGCTAAAGTCGAGCAGGCTCAACTCTTAAATACCCTGTACCACCCCACAAAAAAGTAATTAAATTAATTTAATTAAATTAATTAATTAATTTAATTAAATTAATTAATTAAATTAATTAATTTAATTAATTAACTAAATTAATTTAATTAATTAACTAAAGTAATTTAATTAATTAACTAAATATTCCATGCATGCATAGATACATTTACATTTACATCAGAATCGTGCCTTATGCGTGTTTGTGTACTTGTACATATGTATGTATGTGTGCATTGGGCCTGGTTATATGGCTATAACTTTCTTTCCGATCATTCTATCATAATGAAACTTGGTATACGGATATACAATTACTAACTGGATGTGTCTACCAAATTTTAGTTCAAAATTCCAAGAATTACGGGAGTTATAGAAAATCGTTAATAGGGGGGGAGTGGGGGGGTGGATCAGAAAAAATGAACAAACTCGTCCTTTCTCGGTCTCAGGAGAATCTGTATACCAAGTTTGGTTATTCTAGCTCTTATACTTTCGGAGATCCTTGCGTTCATACAGACAGACAGACAGACAGACAGACAGACGGACAGACGGACAGACGGACAGACGGACATGGCTATATCGACTCGGCTTGTCATGCTGATCAAGAATATATATACTTTGTGGGGTCTACCAAGCCTCCTTCTGTGTGTTCCATGTGCACTCGCACAAAACTAATATACCCTTGTACCCTTTGGGTACAGGGTATAAAAAGTGCTATTGCTAATTTGATACAAAATGATGGCAAATAAATAGACGCACACACGCAGAAAGAGAGGGAGAGAGAGAGAAAGTTCCTGGCCAGGGGATCGACTGACCGATTAAACCGTTTTTGTGCTTGCTAGTGAAGGCTTATCGACGACAAATGCTTAATTGCCATGGCAAAACACTTGTTCACACACACACACACACACACACAGACTCGCACACAACTTGTTCAGAAGATTTCAACTGCAGACCCTGTAAAGACGTTGTGTGTGTGCGTGCGTGTGTGTGTGTGCTTTCTTAATTAAATTTCCAGCATGTATGTGAAAAGTTTTGCTAAACAATATAAAACGCTTCACGTCTGCTTCACGGCTGCCGCAAAGTTGGTCCGACTAAACTTTCTTTGCTGCAACGTCATCGTCATCGTCATCCTCATCGTCGTCGTCGTCGCCGTCGTCGTCACAGTCTTCGTCGTTGTTGTCGTCAGCTGGCAAGGATCAATAAAGAAACTAATATGTCAAACTACACACGGCTGACAGCTGCATGCGATCAGGGTGTGGGGGCGAAGGGCAGGGCGGGGCGGGGCAGGGCAGGGCAAGGCAAGGTGGCTGCGGTGGCAGCGCGATTAGCACATCAAGCGTTTATTAATAGCACACAAGGCGGCAGCAGGCAACAAATACGTATAAACTGAAAGGACAAAAACTTTTTCCACTTGGGTCATAAAGGGCACACATTTATGGGCTTGTTGTCATTGCCCGGTAGAGAGCATTGAATAGCTGGAGGGGGGGTGGACTGGTTGGAGGGGGAGGTGGAGGTGATGGAGCACAACAGAAGAAGAGCTTAAGACAAAAGTTTAGAGCGCAGCGAAAAAGTTCAAGTGATTGCAGCTTTTAATTACAGTTTCGTTTCTTGTGCAACGCTTTAGTTTTTGCCACCACCGCAGCCCACAAGGCTGCATGGAAAAACGCTGGTTGAATTAGCGGGAAACTTTACGTTAAGCGGGTCGATTCATAGATAAGAGTAACGTTTTGTTAATTCTTTGGGGGAAATCGGCAATTAACATAAATCCCTAAATTTATCACATATAGGAAAAAGGTTACAAAAATTTTGAGTTAATATTGTTCACTAAATTTATGAAGTTTAGCAATGTAATTAAAATGTTAATTATTCACATTAAACGAAAACGTTTATTTTATGACTAACAAACTCAAATATTCTGAAAGAATAATGTTGATCGGTTAAACAATAGGGTATATATTTGTCAAAAGATGTGAGTTTGAATTAGTTATTAATTCAACAGGAAAACAATGAGAAATGATTGCAATTTCCCCTGAAGTTTTTACAAAATATGTATTGTTTTTTGATTTGCATTCTAAATTGAATTTTTTAATCGTTCTTTGTCTTCTCAAAAGCATAAACTGTTAGACCTACATAAGTAGGTGCTCTCTAATTTAATTTGTTGTAAACTTTTCCGGGTACAGTGTTCAAAAAGAAAAAAAACTTACTTGTATAGCCACAGATAGTTTTTATGGACTATTCTTGGAATGTTTTCCCTGAACTATTAGTTTTGATGAGTTCAGTCGTTAGTCAAGTGTAAGAAGGTCATAAGTCTAATATTTGAAGAGTGGCTTAAATTGTTTTACTTACCCTTGTATTTACACACTGCTGCATTATTGATTTATCGAGGTCAAGACATGAGCCGCAGTAGACATCTGAACGCCCTGCACGTGATTTTTCTCCGCTTTCCAGGCTTTCCTTCTTGTGAAATGAGGAAAATCGCATGCGATAACTTTTGATTACAGGCGGCGCATTGAATATGAAATGAGGAAAGTTGCGAACAAGCTATACCAACTGCAGCCTGTCAACGTTCCATATGTCCAACTACATAGCTATGTGTTTGTTCGTCCAACCGTCACTCCGTCCGTCCGTCCGTCCGTCCGTCCGTCCATCTGTCTGTTTGTTTATCAGTTGGCCAAATCTTTAGCATCTTTATGCGAACGCCTCACGCTTTGTGTGCTTTGATTTGCATAGATTTTTCATTACAGATTTTCAGCTGGAAAGGGTAGCTGAAATAAAGAAGAGAAGAGTTAAGAAAAAAAAGGTTTGGCCCAACAATTGAATGGCATTTGATGTAAGCGCGACGGGCACACATTTGCATGCTTTGTTGGGGGCCAATGCCGATCCAAAGACTGATGACAATTTGATGAAGGTTCCTGCATTGATTTTTAAATTAACTGTTGGCATAACAAACCACCAAAAAACACTGAGCCCAAGTTGAAACTGACACTGAAACTAAAACTGAAATGAAGCGGAGCGTGCTGAAAAGTTAATTGGGCTTAAACTAGAAAAGCTCTGGCATTGCATTTGTCTGATACGTACTCGTATACGAGTATCTGCGGACAGTTGCAGAAAAGTCGGAGTCAACAATGCGTGAAATGTTTTTAGTAACTCTCCTGCCCAGTGGATCCCCCCGCCCCCTCCATCCACCCACTGCCGGGCTTACATTCGTCGTTCGCTCCTTCGCTCCTTCGCTCGTTGCCAAGTTGACGCCAAGTGCCATCAGTTGCAATGTCTGCCAAAATGCAAAACTTTTTACATTTACATCAGGCTTTTTTTTTTCTTCGCCCGCACTTTTGTTTTGAGTTTATGTTGCTCTCGTCTCGTACAAATAATAAGAATGCGAAAGCGAATGCGAATGAGAATAATAATGATATGCATTTGCATGTTCCACCCCAGTGCCGCCCAACATTGACGATGCCCTGACCTCCAGTGACGTCATTGTACGCGAGGGCGACAACGTGACGCTGCGCTGCAAGGCGAAAGGGAGCCCCGAGCCGGCCATCAAATGGAAACGAGATGATGGTAATAAAATCGTCATAAACAAAACACTGGAAGGTAAGCTCAATTCTCGGCCCCTGCTTCCCAGCACCGTCCCCATTCATTGTTCATTCCCCATTGACAGTAAATGACCTGGAAGCGGACTTTCTAGAGCTGGAGCGCATCTCGCGCTTGCACATGGGCGCTTATCTCTGCATTGCATCGAACGGCGTGCCGCCGAGCGTCTCAAAGCGCATTAAAGTCAGCGTTGATTGTGAGTATAGCCCGAAGCAGAGCACTGTGCGATTGCTCTAATCCTACGGCGCGTTTTCAGTTTCGCCAATGGTCTGGATACCCCATCAGTTGGTGGGCACACCCATGGGCTTCAACGTCACGCTCGAATGCTTTATCGAGGCGAATCCCACATCGCTTAACTATTGGACGCGCGAGAACGAACAAATGATAACCGAGTCGCCCAAATACAAGTGAGTTGAGTTTCATTTTTCAAAGGAATGCGGTTAGCTTAAGTGCTCAAAGGAGTCTAATAGCTTATATACATTAATTTACAAATATTAAACCAATTAATGTAAGTCTTAAATAAGCCATTGAATATAATAGCACATGGTATTCAGTATAATTTTAATTTAAGTAAGCTAGGCCTGTTGAACTTATTGCAAAAGTGTGCTGCTCATTCATTCATTAATTGATTTAATATTACTGATTACGCTTAAACCCTCTCATGTCACTCATGTAACATGCAGAGGGAAGCATCTCCGATCTAGACATGTCCATCCGTTCGTCTGTCTGGATGAACGCAAGGATCTCGGAAACTATAAAAGCTGGAATAACCAGACGAGTTTATTTTATTTTTTGGAATTTTCCCCCCCCCTTCCCCCGCTACAGAATTTTGTCAATACTGTCCACATTTCAAAAGCTACCTTAACCAAACTTTGCACACAATATAATCTACTTTTGTTTCAAATTTCATCTAAATCGGTTAATTCTAAGAGAAGTTATTAGCTCTTCATCTTCTTATTTTGCTTCTGTTATGGGCGCATATAACTCAGTCCCGCAAATTTGTCTGCGTACAGGGTATTACCCTGTCGGGCTCGCTCGACTGTAGCGTTTCCTCTTGCTTAGGTTACTAACAGTCGTGTTAAGAGTTCTTCATTAAGCTAGCTAGCAGTACCTTTTCCTTTCTAGTTGGTTTCATCCAGTTCCCATGGCCCATCGGAACAAATAGTTTTAAATAATTACAATAATTACATACAGATGTCACAACAATTCAGTCCGTTATGTGAACAGCAAAATATCAGTATTTGATAACGTCTGAAACAAGTATAATCGAGGCACCTTTAGCACTGCTTGACTGACTGGTGCAGCTGACGTTGTCTCAATATCAGCAATACACAGCGACTATACCTATTCTTTATATAAGTAGTATAAGCCGTGTCGCTTAAATGCGACGTATTTCCCAATTCAATCTATCAGTTGTTGATGTGCGCTTGCTAACGACGACAACGACGATTCATAGAATGGGGAATCGCTGGATTATCGCTGGTCTAGTCGGACTATTGGTGGCGGCCACAGCGAGCCCTACGGCTCAAGTCGATGTAAATGAGAAGCATTTGAGTGAGATACTCAGCTATATGAACGAGAGCGCCGACGCCTGCGACGATTTCTTTAACTATGCCTGCGGCAATTGGAGTGAGCAGCATCTGAGTCTTTATTATACCGAGATAATGGGGGAAGTGGATCTCAAAGTTAATAAAAATTTGGTCAAGCTCATGGACAAGTTGGCGGTCAGTTTGCAGAACAGCAACCATGACGATTCGAACAGCGTGGAGGACAAAGTGTGGCGATATTATCAGACCTGTCGTGGCGCATCATTGGACACGCGTAACCTGAAGCATTATCTAGACTTTGTGCAGCCCGGAGAGCAGGTTCCGTGGCCTCAGCTCGCCGTCAATAGCAAGCAATGGCCGAAGAACAAGTTCAATTGGCTAGAGACGCTTGGTCGGCTTCAACGCTACAGTCTCAACAACGTTCTCATGCGTAGCACGGTGGTACCAAGCTATAAAAACAGTAGAAAGTATGTGATTGATCTCGATAGACCCGTATTCAAGGAGAAGAACCAGCGTTTAAGAGGCAACTTTAGCACAAAGAATATCTTGCTCCAGCTGGGCGTTCCTAAAGGTAGTGCATTAAATTTGGCACGCAAAGTTTATCAGCTCGAATTACTGGTGCGTGACCTGACCGAAGGGGAGGACCTGCCTAACGACAACCTAGCCTTGCATGAGCTGGAGCGTACTATTCAAGCACCTTGGCGCAAATACTTTGAAATTGTTCTGGGCCACAGTGTGCCTCGAGACTTCAAGGTGCAGATAAGCAATGTCGATTATTTTGAGGCTCTCGTCGAACTTCTGAGCAGACAAGAACCTAACGTGGTGGCCAGCTATATAATGGTGCGCTTCATAATTTTTCTGCGTGAGGAGAGCATGGGCATTGACGAGCCAATCGAATGCATACAGGATGTACGACGCAACCTGGATCTGGCCATAAACTTACTTTATGAGGAGCACTTCTACGAATCTAATAGGCAGAAGAACAACGAAGAAGTGACTGCACTTTTCGAGATACTACGCGCTCAGTTCCTGACCGGGATGGATGGCAATGTTTTTAACTTAAATGCAACGCAACGTGAACTGTTGAGGAACAAGACACGTAGCATGGATATTAATATTGGTAATATGCCCAAGGGTGTCAATCATCGTAAATTTGTCACCAATTTCTATAGAGAATTAAGCCTGAGTGAGTCTGATTATGAGGAGAACCATTTGAAGGTGCTGCAGTTTCGAGCGGCTCGATTAATTGAGAAACTCGACCAGCAACAGCCATCACACACGAAATTCGCACTCAACGATGACGGTGATTATGCCATGAGCTCTTCGCCTTTTTATCTGCAACAGCTCAATTTAATTGTTGTGCCCTTTGGCTTACTGCAGGAGCCCGTCTTCAATGCCGATATGCATGATATATTCAAGATTAGTCTGCTAGGATTTATGATCGCTCATGAGATTATACACGGTTTCGACTCCACGGGGTTGGGGTACGATGCGAAAGGTAATGCAAATGAATTAGGCATCGATATTATTTCCAACATGCACTTCACTGCAGCTCTAGACTGTATTAATCGCAATGAGACGGACAATTTGGATGAGCGAATAGCTGACATATCGGGCATTCGCTTGGCCTTCGATGCCTACTTTGCTCCGGGCTCTAAGTACAGTCAAGCACATCCAACCTTCACTACCCTACCACTGAAGAAGATTTTCTTTCTGAACCTGGCACAGTTTTTCTGTGGCAGTTTAGACACTTCTTTTATGAGTCACGACCCAGATGATGTCCGTATAAAGCAATTACTGATCAATTTTCCACCCTTTGCGGAAACGTACGGCTGCCGCCAGGGCCAGGACATCATGCATCCAGCAGAGAAATGTCGGCTTTGGCGTTAAATACAATGTAATGGTTATTTAAAATAAAATTATAATCAATAAATTCGACTAAACATTTTTAGAAGTGTTTTTTTTTTTTTGTTAACTTTTTACTTAAATGTATAGTATTTAGTTTCATATAGTCAGAGAAAGTTTGTCTATTTATTGATAACAAAACTATGCGCTAGAACTAAGGAACAAAATGTACATATATAGTTGGGTCACCATAATCTGCATCGCTGTTTGGACTGCATTTTCGTGCGTCTCTCGCAGCCGAATTCTCGAGAGAACTGTTCAAAGTTAGCCAAAGACTGGATCACACGCAGCTCGTCTACAGCATGCTCCATGTAGGAGTTGGGACGCAATTTACGATGCACTTTACCGCAGAAATGTTGCGCAAAGTGAATGAAGAAGAGCTGTCGTTGACTGAACTGTGGCAGCAAGGTGTCACGGGGCTCCACGGAAGTGCGTCCCGAACTCATATTGAAGTATGTGTCGTAGACGAGGCGCAGGCCCTCGTAATCGGCCAGTTTCTCATTCAGTGAACGGGAACCGGTGGCTAGTTCTTGTTGCATGCAGCGCAGACCTTGCATAAAGCGCTGATTTGCAGCGATTTCCTCGCTGGGACCCATAATGTTGCCTACATTATCGTAATCAATGCCCGATGAGTCGAAGCCGTGCAGCAGCTCGTGAGCCAGCGTGAAACCCAGCACCGCGTACTGCTGCACCAGAGACATGTTGCGATGATAGATGGGCACCTGCAGGAATCCGTAGGGCACCACAATAACGTTGCGTGGCTTCACATAGAAAGGCGAGGATGAGGAGCCCAGCCAGTCGGCTAGCATGTGACTCGAATTGCCGGCCACATCGTTGAAGCCGACAATGCCATTCGGCTCTTCAGTGCTGACATTCAGACGCACCGCCTGAAGCTGTTCGTGATTTTTCTCCACGTTGAGACGCAAAAGACTCAGTTGATTCACATAAAAATTGTGCGGATGCAGCTCCACGCGCTCGTAATACTCTTCGTAGTACTCGGGTGAACTGTTCCTGGGCGAATTGCCGACCTGCAAACGCATGGCCTGCAACTTCTGGCGCAGGGCCAGCACAATGGGCGGCTCCAGCTGCAGTCGATTCTCACGAATGACGTGATCGAAACGTTGCTTAAGCCGCACAAAGAGTTGCTGCACTGCAGCATCCGTGTAGGCGGCTTGACGCGCATAGAAATGTTCGCCAACGAACCAACTGAGAGCCAACGGCATGGCACGTCTCAGACTGGCTACGCACTCCGGGCGAGAAATTTCAGCTGGGCCCTGCAACTTAAGGAAGGCCAGGAACCGCAACATTATGTAATTGCAAATAGTCTCGCGTGGCAGGCGCTCCAGTAGTTGGCAAAGCGCCCTCATATACGGTATATTTTGTATGATGACTGTGGAGTCCAGCCCCGCATCAGGTCCGCGCAGCTGGCGAATGTAGTCCAGCCACTGCAGTTGCGGCATATATTGTTGCAAGTAACCCAATTGCATTTCCTTGGGACCCTCATCGTCCTCCAGTTCTTGCAGGCGATGCAGCTGCAGTTCAAAGGCATCCACCTGCCGCGCCACCTCGTTGGCCACGCGCTTCGTCTGTCCAATGTCTAGCAGCAGCTCGATCATGGCGCCCTGGCCCATCGGTGCCGTCTCGACCAGAAACGGCTTGTCCAGATAGATGCTGTAACTATTCGATTCATCCCAGCGCGGCAAGACCTCCTCCTTGATCAGCACACCATTGAGTCCGTAGAGGCGTAGCTTGGCAATAGCCGCTAGCCAATCAAACTTCGAGGCCTGCCAATTACGCGCCCCATTCCGTGCCAGCAGATACCAGCCCGATTCGAAACAGGGCTGGATGAGCTGCAGATACTTCTTCAGATTGTACGGCTTCACCTTCTTGCAGGAGCGATAATAGATGCGCAGCTTCTGATACACGCCATTGAACTCCGTATCGTTGCGTCGCAGCAGCTGCTCCACTCGACGATTCAGCTCGTAGTCGAGCAGCCCCAGAGTGTCTCCGAATTCCAGCTGATCGATGTGCTGCTGCTGCCACCGCCCGCAGGCGTACTGATAAAAGTTCTCGCACGGACGCGCTGTCGTATCCATATAGCTTTGCAGATTACGGGCCAGCAGCTGCTGAATGCTGAGCGGGGGCCGTGTCTGTCGGCAATTGGTGGGCGTAGTGCGCCAGGCCAGTGAAAACAGCAGCCAGGCGATCAGGCTGAGCTTCAGCATTTTGCGAATTGCGAATTAAAACTGCGCACTGGGGGCTCTGCAAAATCTATAACAGCTGCGCAACTATCTGCTAGTCTTGGAGCGACTTTATCAACAGAGCACTTGTTTACCCACTACCTAGGTACAAACACAGTGACGGTCATACAAATAGGTATGCCAAAATGACGTTCCCTAAAAACTGTTTGTGGACAAAATAAATGCAATTCTAATTGTAAGTAAATTAAATTAAATTAATTAAATGCGGCATCACTACACTTTCGGACGAAAGATTATGTAGAAATAAAAATAAACCCAATTAAGATTTAAAAAATAAATTAGGAAATCGCCTAAATTAAGAGGACTACTATATTTGATTTGCTTGATGTAAGATAAGTTAATTCATGTAATTAATAGCTTACGAGTTATATTTCGTATGCGAGAAATTGTTATCTCTAGCAAGTTCATACAAGTACATCTATTCCATTGCCCTCTGGTATAGATTGTGTGTATTAAGATTGGCCTGCCATGTGCCTCAAGTCTGGCCTGTCAGTCTTCATCGGTCGCTCTCGCATCGCTTGTGTTTTCATTTCGATCGCAACTGCGTTCCAGGTCGCATTTTGATTAGACTTAAGTGAGGCAAAAACGACGACGACGAGTTGCGGCTTATCAATCCGGCAGCTTAAACGTTTTCACCTTGGCCTTGATTCATGATTGGGCCTCATTCAATTTTTACTCACGCCACTGACCTAGAGCGCAATACTGACCTTTGGCACGGCAGTGGCGGTAGGCAGTGGACAGCGGCAACTGCTGACAGTCATTGAACCCATGCTACTATATTTAAGTAGTTGAGCCAACAGCATTGCAGCTACCACTTGTACTATTATATTAAAGGTCTAACTCTCCTCTGATTTCACAGAACGGAAACAATACCCGGCAATCCATCGTACAAGGCAACTATGCGGCTCACCATCAGCAACGTGCAGACCAGCGATTATGGCAACTATAAGTGCGTCGCCAAAAATCCTCGTGGCGACATGGATGGCAATATAAAGCTCTACAGTAAGTGCCGCAATGGGTTATTTATACTTTTTAATATTGGCCTGCAAACCGAAACTGTATTAAGCCAGCTCGCACACACACACACACACACGCACACACTCCTATGCATGTGCGTCCATGATGCAGTCGGCATCATGTCCAGGAATAGCCATACATATAAATTACATGAGTCGCCTAAATATTTTCTGTGTTGGAAATTCAAAACTGCACATTTTGTGGCTTTAATTATGCGGCGGCTCTGCGACTCTATGTGTGTACGTGTGTGTGTGCGTGTGTGTGTGCGTGTGTGTGAATGCCTTTGTCTGCGTATATAGTTGATTAGATTGTGTCTGGTTCCAGTTTATATTACCATTCATATAACCCTATAAACTTCAGCTACACTTTGGCCAAAGGCGGGAATAATGAGATTAAAGAGTATAAATTATTTGTCTGAGAGTTGCGACGCCAGTAATGAACAAGTATCGCAATGGATTTGTTATTAAATAAATAACAATAGAAGTAGTAGCACGCAATTCCTGTGAATATTCGTTTGTAGTCGATTAGAACTTCGTTTAAAGAATTTCTATTCTTCCGACTAATATTTATAATATTTTCAACATATTTTATTTTCGACTAAAATATAAGTGTTTAAATAGTTTAAATTAACGAGCTCTTACAATTAAAAGAAAATGTGTCATAATATTGACTAATCCTTTTGGTGCATGGACAGAATTTACAAACATACTCGTATGCTATGATTCCTTTTTTTTTAGCAATGCGTTTGCAATTAATAATGATTCGAAAGCATGCTATAAAATACCCATAATCTGTCAATTTGCTAAATCACTCCCTGTTGGTGGGCCATTAAAGCAGCATGCTGCGAAATATCACGTCGAGTCGGACACAAAAGTTCATAAAATAATATACAATACAATATAACCAATGTGTTCAATGGCCGGCAAGCCCGGCCAATAAAAAGCCACGGCCAATGGCTGCCGAAATTGTCAATGTGAAAATGCGACAAGTTAATTTATTTTTTGGGCGATAAAAACTGTGGGAGGTCGAACGGGACACAATCGGGGTGCACAAGGAGGGAGGTCCGGCTACCAATTAAAGGTAACAATGAAAGTCAACGGCCGGCGTGAACCAACAACAAAGAGCGAAGCATAGTGGCTGATAATAATAAGGCTGCAATAATGATGACACCCTCTGGAACAAACACACACATACACACACACGACAATGAGAACAATGAACCTTCGACAATGTTATTAAGTGGACAGCCGAACTGCTCCTTCGGCATCCAAAAATTTGTGGCGTTCTATGCCAGCAGCCAGCCCTCAGCACAGTGGCAAGGCCAAGTGCCTGACGCCATAAATTTGACCAACAAATTGTCGTCTAGAATGTGCCGGTAGAGGCGAAGAAAAAGCGGGCAGAAAAGGAAACCAGGACTCCTATGAGTTGCATGGAAAGTAAAGCAAGCTAAGTTAAGTGAGATTGGCCAGAAGTGTAAGATATAAAGTTGCATCGGAATTTTCTTCTTGCTATTATTCATTGCAAACGCATACATACAAGTATTATATTTTATGAAGGGTAACCAGTTGAAAATTAAATTGTCAAAATTGATAGCTATTGAAGAAATATTTCAGCATCTCGCACTTCTACTTTAAGAAAAGGAATTACTTGAATGTATAGCAATAAATAGTCAGTAAAGTAGAATGGAATTTATTACTTAAAAGAGTGTAAAAGAGCAGTACTTATGTGTACTTGTATTAGAATGGCAAAAATAAAGTTTTGAACAATACGTCTTGAGTTAACGATTATAGACAAATACGATTATAGAGAAATACTACGAAATTTTTAAAAACGCGAAAAGAGTGGAGATCGTGACATAGTTTAATGCTGTTATGGTATATAACTGTTACCAAGTTTCAAAAAACAATTAATTTAAAAAGGACTTCAAGCATAGCTTTTTACCTGCTTAAATAGCTGACAATCGATAGAGGAATAATTGGGGAAAATATTATATATAGCTTATATTACTGGCCTAGTCTCTCATTCATGAAACGATCTAACTTATGGATAAGGTTTAAGTTATAACGGTTAAGTTAAGAAATTCGGGTGCTCCGAAGTTAAAATCCTTTATACCTATGTGTGGAATAATTATATCTATAAATTTATAAAAATTTTAAAAATTATGATCGATTACACCTCAATGGTAGACTGTGAGTATGTTGAACCAAAGCAGCAACAACAACAGCTGCTGGCAGAGCTTAAAAGGCTGCATAAATACACATTTTCCCACCTTTCAACAGCGATGAAAATAAAAACTGACTTTTCGCCCCAAAAGACTATTGATTAGCAACAAAAAACTGCACTTTTAATATCAAAGTTAAAGCTTAGCTAACAATTTTAATGAAATTTAGGTTTTATTATAATTACATTATATTACTAAAAACAAACAATAAATCAAAAGCACACAAATATGCCTTTACAGGTGTTATAGTATAATAAACTGTACAATTTGTCATCGTTGCACTCCACCATGATAATGAATTTCATGAGCGCAATTATTCAGTAATATATCACACATATGAAAGTTTCATTGCTTTTCCGGTTTTGCAGTGTCCAGTCCGCCCACAACGCAACCGCCGCCCACAACAACAACACTGAAGCGGACGACAACAGCAACAACAGCAAGTGCGTACGATGGACAGAACACGCCAAGTAATGGAGCTGGCGGAAAGGGCGGCGACGCGCCCACAAATTCCGTAGTTGTCGTTGACAAATGTAAGTGGCGGCTATAAGAAGCCTCTTCAGCTGGCCGTTATCGAGCCTAGGCAAGGCGCTTGACTTTTGTTTTATCTTCTTTTCAGCGGGCACACAGTACCAATCGAATATAAATGAAATTGAAAGATTTGAGCAGAAGCTGACTGGCAAAAATAACAAGGACTACGATTGGCCCAAAGGCAAGGGTAGTGGCACGCAAAACGCTTTGGGTGGCAGCGTCTTCTGTGGACTGCTATTTGCATTAATGGTGGCAGCGTAAGCGGCTTCGGGAAGGACAACGGACACAGTTCTTGAGTATTACTTTTGATTTTAAATATTCCATTTGAATTACATTATTAAAGTGCCATTAAATCAACTAAACTCGACACAAAAACAAACCGAGAAAAAAATTCGAAAAAAGTAACGTACATAAATACTTAAACAAATGCAACATTATTAAGTATTGGCTTCCTTTGTTTAACAAACAGACCTACCTAGCACCCGGCGTTAACTCGGTTTTCCACAAATTGACATTGATATTCAACATTTTAGACAATTAAAGACAGTCCATTATTATTGTGCAACATAGTTAAATAACGACGCCTGAATACCCTTTCCAGAAGGTACCTTAATTCGTATTTTTCACAATTTACATTTTTCATGAGAAACATTTGAACAAATTAGATTTTTATTAAATTTTTAATGGACATTTCAATTGACGAATTTGCATACACAAATATATAGTATGTAGGTATTGTATATTGTATTGTAAGGCCGATTTTGGAGAGGGTATGACAAATAATAAATACGCTATGCAAATAAATGTGCAATTATGGGCACATACTCGTATTTGAAAACAAAGCCCAAGTAAAAACAGACGATTAGGTGTCTGACACACAAATAAACGCAGTATTCAGACACTATTTATATATTAAAAATGTTGCCAAATTGTTAAAACACACGCATACGTGCACCTACACACAGACACATAGAAACACAAACATATTGTAAATAAACACGCACACAGTAAAACAAACAATGCAATTGTAAATTACTCGTATTAAGCATTACAATTAATTGTGCTTTAATTTGTATGAAATTATGTAGGCAGCGAACAATTAATTATATATATACATAAAAACACATACAGAGACACACATATGAGGAGCAGCCCCTTGCTAGGCGTTAATCAAAACCCTAAACCCATTTAACTCAACACATTTTGATAGTATACAAAAAGTTGTTGAGCATCACACAAAACGTGTTGTTGTTGCCGGATTATTTTGATTGACATAAGTATTTATATGGAACATATTTATACATGCATGAGCATAATTATGTACGCAACTATATATATATACACATACCTATATCATAGGCTTTAGTTTGTGTTTGTAATTGGTAAGAGTGATAATGTACATTACAACTAAGATTTATCAAAAGACCGAAGCAAAATAATACAAATCAGAATAAATGCTTCATATGCAAACACTTTAATTCATTGTTTTTTATTGATCTGAAAAGCAATTAATATTTACTACTATTTTTTATTTTTCAATTCTCTTTTAAATTCTCGCCTATATTTCTGAATAAGCAACACCACTCTTGTAGCATACTTTCAGGGGCAAATGAACCAAACGGCATTCTCGATTTCGGACCACCCTGCGCCAACCCTCATTAATGTTTTTCACCTTTCAAAGGTATATCTTTATATTTATTTGTTTAGTCTTGCCTTTCTTGTTTTTAATTATTTAATTATTTAATTTTCTAACTTTTTTTTTCTGGCAGTGAACTTTCTTGCGACTCATCGATCACAGCCCATCCCTTTCTTGGCCACTTAGAGCCAGCGATTGCTGAGCAATCTACTTGCAATCTACTTGGCGTCGCCAAAGGGTTGAGTAACGACTAGCAGTGTACTATTTGCAGACTATGTGCAATAAATATCCATGCATTATTATTGTTATTATATCTATTTACAAATAGAAGGGCCTACCACACTATACAGCGCTGCGAAGCGTTCACATACATGCGAGAGTGGACACCACAGTTAAACTCTCGGGCAAATGCCACATGATTAGCCAAGGTCTGAGGCACCCGTTCGAAGGGTGTGTCATGGCTACTGTCATAGACAATACGTTGCGGACTGACGGCGCAAAAGAACTGAGCGAATTTGATGAAGAAGAGCTGTTGATTGGTTAGTCCATTCGCCTCCTCCAGACCCTCGGCTCGAAACTTGGGCACCAAGCCGTGGCGCCCAAAGTGCGATTCGTAGGCCAGCCGAAAGCCGCTAAAGTCCGCCAACTTTTCATTTAGATTAGAGGTGGGATTGCGACTCAAACATCGAAGGGCGTTGAGCAAGTGTTCTTTTCTCCGCACAGCGTCCATGAAGAGCATGCTAGGTGCGCCATCGGCATCGTACTGCAGACCAATGGGATCGAAGGCATGCATGATCTCATGTCCCAGGGTGTTGCCCAACTCGGCATAGAGAAACAGTTCGTGGAATTTCCGATGGAAAATAGGTAATTGCAAATATGCATGTGGAATGAGGAGACGATTCCTTTGCTGGTCATATGCCGGCGATCCATACGGCCACATATTGAAGCTGTGCTCCGGCGCCGTGGACGGTAGGAGCAGCCGCTGCAGTTCCCGGAACACGCGATGTTGCAGGGCGTTCAAGTGATTCCATTGAAAGTATCCCGGTAGCACATCCAAGCCGGCATAGTATTCGGAATAATAGTCGGCATTCACACCCTTGGGTAGATTACCAATGTTCAGCTGCATGTGCTGCATCTTTTTTTGCAGAAATTCAAGCTCTTCCTCATTTAAATCCGCAGTGTGTTCTTCGAGGAACTCAATGAATTTGCTCTGTATGCTTTTAAAAATGCGATTAATGACTGCATCCGTCTCCTGACGGACATAACGATAGCGCTCTCTCTCATTTATGTAATCTAAAGCCAACGACATGAGTCCGCGCTGATGTCCCACACAGTGCTCAGGTGTATTGCTGCGTGGCTGCTCGCGTCTCAGATAAACGAGTAGCTGGAGGCGCAGCAGATGCAATATGGTCTCCGAAGAGGTTTTACTTAGCAGGTCGGACAACTTGCGCAAATAGCTTAGACTACGCACCAGAATGGGCGTTTCTGGGGGCAGTGGTGCACCATAAAGCTGCTTCAGATAGTCGCTCACATCCAGCATTGGCAGCCGATGCTGTAGCTCGCTCAGACTCAACTCGGTTAGGGGCTGCGATGCAGATGTGCTGCGCCATAGTTGCTGTAGCTTGTGGTTCAGCTGTTTTACTTGATCGGCCAGCGCAGCCGGTTGTAGCAAAGACAGCTCCTGCTGCGCATGCTTGTCCCAAGACATGTGAGTTGGTCGGCCCAATTGTAGAATGTACGAACTGGCATTACGATTCTCCAGTTTCAGTTGCATCAGCACATCATTCAGTCCAATGGCGCGGAGACGCCCCAATGTGTGGGTCCAGCGGAAGTATGCAATGTTGGCCGTATCCGCTGTAGCCCCAACCACCGGCCACTCCACATTGTGCGCCGGCTTTAAAAGCTCCAGGTAGCGCTCCAGCTCCTGTCCAGCTTGGATGCTGTTCTCAAGACAGGTCTCGTAGTAGACGCGCACTTTCGCGTACAACGGCAGCGTTTCGATCTTGTGCGCCCGGGCTCGCTCCTCTATTAGCTCCGCTAGTTGCCGATTGGCGTTGTACTCCAAACTGCCAATGACGTCCACGTAGCTGTTGCTGCTGTTCTCACCCTGCTGCCGTTCCCAATTGCCGCAGGCATACTCATAGAAGCGTTCACACGGCGGCTGCTCCAAGTCCATGTAGCTGAACATGGTGCGCAGCAGGTCCGAGTTCACATCTTCCGCTTCGATCCGCACCATGCGTACCACCAACAGCAGCACTACAGTATTCCACATCAAGGCAGTGAACCAAATCAAAACGAAACGAACCGCAAGCGCACGTTACAGCCACGAAACTGGCGCGCCGCTGACGCTTCCCACTCGACTTTGTCACACGGCTTATCGGGAGGAAGAGCACCCCTCACGGGCCGAGGTGGTGCTACTGATAAAGCAGCTGGGAGCTTACTTTCGGTCGCTCACCGTCTGCTCTTCATCCTAATGCTCAAGTTGTTGTTTATGGTCACTGCCGGGGCAACTGGTGAAATCGAAACCGGGCCCAAGTTGAAGGCTACGACATCGCAGCTATTTTGTTGATGTTTGTCGAGTGAGCGTTTGAATACAAATTACACAATTTCTTAAATTTGTCACGAGCCTAAGCAATGACCGACATATTGTAGCATTATTGCCCTTAACTTCTTTAAATTTAAACATTAACATATTCTTAATATATTAAGTGTATTTTCTTTTTGAATAGTTGTAAATAAAAACTTTATGTTTTCTGTTTGCATTATATTTATTTTAAATAAAGAAGTTTATTACAATCGAATCATATTCTTAACATTAAATGTTAGTGCTCGGGATAAAACATTAATTAATAATACAATTTAGACAGCCACAGCGCGTCGATCCAGTAGGGTGTCGAGAATTTTGTCCATGTGCTCGCTGCAGTTAGTCAAACAAACGTCCGCATACTCACTAAGGAAATACATAAAGCTCTCCAGCTGTTCCATAGAGCAAGTACGGAATCCGTTGTTGAGCCCGATGCTGTCGATAGCCCGAATGATGGCCCGTAACTTGTGGATATATTCCGGCGATTCGCGGCTATGGCTTAGGGACCCATCGGTCAGATTAGTCGGCTTGGCGTAGCTTCGTATGCGCTGCTCCACATTCTTCAGTTTTAACTTTTGCTGCTGTAGGGTTTCAAGCATTTGGGGCATACATATGGATGTCTGCTTGGAGGAATCAGTCGAAGACAGCTTTCTTGGCGACGCTTTTTCGAACAGCTCATCCAGGGGGACATTTTCATAGTCCATGCTGAACATTTCTGGCGAGAAGGAGAGCCGTCCACTGTTACTGAAACTGTCCGATTCAAACTCCGAGTGATCGAGATCGCTGGTCTTGATGGCGTTCGAATTGTTGTTTGGCCAGGCGTACTTGCTACGTCCCTCAAGTCCATTACTATTCCCCGTCTGTAGACCCACAAGCATGCTGTAGCTACTCTCAATTGAGAACTTTGGCGTGTTAAGCCAGAACTCGGGCACGCTGGAGAACTCAATGTGGTCGACGCCGAAACGAAGCTCCTGCTCATTGCCAGAAGTGGTTAACTCCGTTTTTAGGAACTGGAACAGGCGCTGTATCTTCTCATCAGTCATCAACTTGCCGCTGAAAGGCACAGCCAGATCTCCACTAGCAAACCAATAGTGCGAGCAACCTTTGACACCGGGTGGGCGCGGCGGAAGCGATTGAGGATCTGATGGGTCCTTTTGCAACGTAAACTTGTGACCGTCGATGCCAAATGCCAGATCGCGTGTTTCGCAACTCTTTTGTGTAAAGATCTCGTAGAGTAGACGCAGTCGCTCTGGTGCATTGTGAAAGATCTCCAATGAGACCGTAAAATCGCCGGCAGCTATCCAGAACATGGACACGGGCTTACTGGTGGTCAGATCATCCAGGTTCGAAGGCATGTCAGCCGTGGGTGCATTGGCAAAGAACGCACTCTCGCTGGCGCTAAAGCTACAAGGTGTAATAGGCGCGCTGTTTGTTGTATCCAAATGCGTTTCCAGCGGATGATCCTCGCGTATTACCTGCATGGCCAGTGAGCTGCGTCGCGGCTCTCGCTGCTGCTTAGCAGATTGAGGAATGGGGCTGAATAGTTGTTGCTGCGCCATGCTGCCGGCATGGCCGGAGCCGCGAAGTCCATGACCTTTGACGGGCGTGGAGAAGCACGATGGCTTGGTGTTATCCAAAGTATTGCGTGGTGAGCAGTTTTCGGCTGGTGATGCGTTCTCCAGCTGTCTCGTTGATGAGCGACGCATGGGACTCTGGTCTGGCTCATTAGATCCTGTCTCAAATCCTTGATCTATAAAGCTGTCGGCCAGAGCTCTTGGCTCGATTTTAAGCGATTGATTCAATGATGGGCGAGGCGTTTGCGACTGTTCATGGTCGCTACCAGCATTCGGTGGCGATGGTGAAGACATAACCGTCAAGGTATAGGCCGATTTAATTTTGCGCGGCGAATTTACGTGACGCATCAGTGACTTATCCAACTCAATGTAACTTTGCTCCGTAGTGGGAGGCGAAGGTGCCTTTTTCTTGATATGATGTGCTGACGTCTTTTTATAGTCTGAATCGGAATCTGTGCTAGTCACAGCAGCCGTGGCCTCCACAATTGAATTTTCCTTCTTCCATGTGAGTGTGCGCCTCATTTTCTTTTTACGCGGCGGCCGCAAAGGCTTCACGAATTCAAAGTCCTTTGAAAGAGTTTCCTGATTTTGCTGATTTTCCGGCTGAGAGTCGTCGCTGGTTATCTGGTTATCGCAAAACAAAAATTTTATGATAAAAGGTTAATAATAATTTATTTATATTTAACACTTAAACATTTCATCGGGTGACCTATCTATCCCCGTAGTTTAAATGTATATGTTTAAGGGACTTACCTTTGGTAGCGTTGACAAACCCGATTCGCTTTCCTCAGCATCGGATGGCTTATAGGACGACGACACAGATGCACTGCTCGATGATATGGAAGACGACTGTGTCTGTAAACTTGTGCGCGGCTTGGGAATTGGTGGTGCACGCCGTTTAGCCTTGCGGGGGGTGCACTCGGAAGGTGTGACAGTTGAAGGTGTATCTATCAAGGGGGAAGAAGGCGTACCAGAATCCAACATCTCGTTTCCAGCAACGGTATCTATATCCTTTTCCTCAAATGACATTAGCTCTTTATTCCTTGATTCTTCCAATTTGGCAATAGCTTCCTCCAGCAATCTTTCTACAGCTGACTTTTGAGTCACATCTGCTGTATTGTCTTTTACTTGGCTTGACTCCTCTTCCTCATCCTCGAGCGTTATCTCAATGGTCTGCTCGCTATTGCATGCACTTGTAATATCAAAGAGCACTCCGTTCTCCTCGCGCAGCCAGTTGTAAAATAGACTCTCCAGCTGCTCGTTTGGAAAAAACAACTTGCTATCGCCACTAAGACGCTCGTTCCGAGTTCGCCGAATTTTCTTGGGTGGGGCATATGCCTCCGTGGGCAGTACACTTCGAATAGATGAAATGTTGCGTTTGTGAGTTTGCGTTATGGATTCAACCGACAAATCGCAACGCTTGCTCTTTGATGGTGAACGACGTTTTGGACTTGGCTTGAGTACCACGGTCAGAGTACTAATATGCAGGTTTTCTGAAGATTTCGGAGATACTGGCGATGATGGTGAAACCACAGATTTGTGGCCGGGCAAGGAGCGTGGTGGCGAGGTAGTTGTATTAAGGACGCATTTTGCTTCCAGCTCCTGGGTTATTTGCTTGACACTTGCCTGATGCTCGGTCACTACTTCGCCACGTGCAATCTGTTTTTTGACTTGCTCCTTTATGCCCTCAGCATGGGCATTGAATTTTGGATGCTTGGCGGACATTTCGCCTACGAATTTGTTGAAGAGCAATGCCTTGTCCTTGACACTCAATTCCCGAAAAACATCTTCGGCGACAAGACAGGGACTGTGGGCGACTATCGAATTACCTTTACGGCGTTGACGAGGACTGGGTACTGGACTGGGCAGCCCAGGCAATCGGTAGCTGACTGGCTTATAACGCGGCGCTGGTTGTGGTGGTCTTTTCGGAGGCAGCTTTGCTTCTGGTGAGTCTTCGTTTTGCAAAGGCGCATATTGTTGTCCCTCCGAGGTGCGCCGCATAACCTGACTGATTTTGGAGTTGAAGAGCTGCGCCATTTCCTTCACCTTCATCGGTAGCCTGGCTGGCTTAGTGACACGTGACGGAGTTATAGTCGCTGCCAACGAAGCCAATGGCTCGGGCTCAACCTTCATCTCATATTTTTGCTTCAGTTCGCTTATCTTAATCGCGCTATTCAAGGGCTTGGCTGGCGAAGTTTTTTGTGTGGCCGGCTGTTCCGCCTTTGATTTAAATGTGGCTATGGCGTTAGCTACTTTACCCTGGCATGGAAGCGTTGTGTTTGTCATCTTTGTTGGCGTAACTGGCACATCTTCATCGAAATACTTCATCAGATTCTCAATGCTGGACAAGTCTAGATCGGTAACTTGTACCCGTGAAGGCACTGTATAGGAGTTTTGATGCTCTAGTGCTGTGAGAAAACGATCATCATCCAATGAGGAGATCTCAAAGAGTTCCTCACGTGTCATTCTGGCCTTTAGCAGGCCACTACCATCGCCAGCTATTGAATAGCGGTGTTGACGACGCTCTTCAATTTCCGCATCCAACTGCAGCAGCTCGCTGAGATCCGCACTGTTCATGTGAGCTGTGTCTACTTTGAATTCGTTTTGCTTCTGATTGTTTGGCGTAGAATTGCTGAGCACCATTTTTGCTTCAGTATTGTTACTTTCTTCGTTATAGCTTAAAGGAAATATAGAGTGTGTGTGCACGTTAGACGTTGCAGTTTGTAACTGTGATGAAAGGCGATAAGTGTTTGGTTTTTATATATTGCGCGGTACTGTTAGCAGGTCATGTTATGCCGACCGTTGCAACCGCCATGCAAATTTTTATGACCCGCTAATCCGCCCAACGATGCCTGCCTGACCTGTGGGGTGGATTTCCATAGCAGCTGTGTGTGTGGGTTTTCCTCACACTGCCAACTAACTAGAATTTAATTAGGGTCGCGAGTTTTCTGCAGCTGCTGACTTGTGGGCAGGTAGTTAACGGCGAGTGCCCTTTGCAAGTTTGTCGAGAATTCGCTTTAATTGGGTAATCGAAGGCAGCGCAATGTGCTTACGGCTTCTCAAAATATAATTCGGCATTTGGTAATCCGGCCCTTTGCGACATCACAAACAAAAACAAAATCTCTACGTGGAATCAGTTAATCCCTCGTATACATATCTATATATTTAAATGGTCAATACGAATAAACTGAAGCTAGTAAAATTTTTTCTATAAATGAACTTACAATCTTCACAAACTAGAAATCCTGCAAAAAATCTAAATACTGCCGGCTGTTAAATTAAATGGGAAGTTGCGAAAGAATTTTCTCTTTGTTCTGCAGGTGAGCCTGAACAAGTTGTAGTATGACGTTTAATTAAAATTAAATCAAACAGAGCACATGGTACTGAAAACTTTTGTAAAGAACTCTTTAAAAAAATGCAATAAAATTTGGCGCATGCAAAATAATAATTAAGTTCGTTTCAAGTGAATAAGTTTAAGTCAGCCTGCAGATTATTTGTTTGGCTTTGTCGTCATTCCTTTGTCAATTATACTCCTAATAAAACAATTTTGAGCAACAAACATATTCAAACATTCGCAAATTAGTGTGTCAAGCATGCCAAGCTGCTGAAATCTTTTCAAGCACCTTCTTCTTAAGTAGATCTGCTCAAGAGCTCCTGAAGTGCTTAGCTCGACAGCAATTTTTGTTGCAGTTGCAGTGCCCCGAAACATGCCACATTTTAATGCAAACGTGGTTCAACACAGAAGAGCCCACATGTGTGCTGAAGCTCCGCTAACAAGACCCACAGGATTTCTCACCCACAATAAAAATCACAAGCAAAAATTTACGCTCCTGGTGAGGGCGGTGTGGGCTTTGATTTCATAGCGTGCTCTATACTCTGTCGATTTGAACTCACCTCAACGTCATCTTCTTTTCATTGTTGTTGTCAGCGTTGTCGAGTGAGCTGAGACTTTGTTGCCATCGTATGCAAATCACAGTCAAGCTGTAACGCAGGTGTTAAGACGCACGTGGATGATGGCTTTGGCGGCTGAAAATAGACAACATCCATACACACATCTCGCGTTTATAATATGTACTTGTATTTAGAATGGAACTTAGGAAAGCTATGCCGAAGCTTACCTTATAAATGGACAATTTCAATTTACTAAGAGGTACGTGGCATATTTCTATGCATAGCCAAACTTTGTCTAGACAACAAATTTGCCAAGCAAATAGAACACAAAAACTCAATGGGTAAAAGGTTGTTCTTATTTTCTTGATTTTTTTTATTATTATTTTTCTCAAACATTTCTTGCCATCACTCTCTCTCATTTATTTGTTGTTTGTGCATTTGTTGTATAAAAGGGCTTTCAATAACTTTAATATCATTTGTGTAGAGCGCGAGCATAAACCAGACAGCGGAAATTGAATTACTTCAAGTGTAAGCAGCTCGAGTGGCTCCGGGGAAAAATAGTAGCTGGAAGAAAAGAGTAAGGGATATGCATTGCTTACTTTAAAAGCAAAAAATAGTAATAAAAAATCCGACCGCAGACACTTAATGCGCCCTATAGAGAAAGTAGCAAGCAGTATTTGGTTTCAAGAGGGCCGCGGGTCGGGAAGAGATGGGTGGAAAGAGCCTGTACGCGTAAGTGAACATTTAACAAGGCAAATAGTTGGGCTAACAGTTACGTGCTACTCTCAATATTGCCCTACAAAAAAAGTGGGAGCTATGCTATTTCAGGACAAATGGAAATACCTCTTTTGTTGTCATGCAAACAATCCACGATGACATTTTGTAAATCAAATTTTTTTTACCTTGACTTGACCTAATGATATGTATAGGTTTGGTTGGAAGAATATTTTTCATTTTTTATTAACTGGATGTAAAGAACTTTTAAATAACATGTACACAAATAAAAATTGGTATTAATCCATAGCAAGTATTTATAATGTTAGACTCGCATGGTCTTATAGTTGCGGGGTTTCTAGGTTAATGGTAAGCCACATTGTCTGTTTGCGAAAAGTGTTGAAAAGTTGACATTCACCCACGTTTTGGTCTCTGTCTTTTATTTCTCATTTTTGGTTGCAACGCCTTTTCTGTTTAATAAAAATATGAAAATATGAAAATTTCGGTCCGAAGTTTGCAGAAGTTCGACGAGGCAGTGGTGGAAGCAAAGCGAGTGGATGTAAATAAGAACAGAGGATGTGTCGGGGTAGTGAATATTGTTGCCATTGAAGCGTTCAAGGCGTTTTTAACAGGCTCGCACATATGTACATATATGTATGTATGTTAATGTGTATGTGTTTGCGTATGCATGAGAATACGGAGAGATATGGACAGATGCGATATACTATATGGGCAGACATGCGAAGCATGCGAAAGATTAATTTTCGTGTTTCCCTGTTAATAAATTAATAAATTAAATTGGCATTTTTTCTTTATGGCCGGCAACCGCTTTGCCACTTTGTTTTACATTCCCATAATGAATTCTGCACCGAAAAAAGTGAAACGTTTTAATAATACTCATTTTTGTGCCTTTTTCACTTTGACGCACGGAAAATGCCACCGCATCTGCATGGTAAATATTTTTAAAGCAGTTAAATAATTTTGAATCGCTTTTTTCAACTGAAATTCATACTCTACTATTTGGAGAGTATTTTATTTATTTCTACCTTAACCAGCGGGCAATGGAAACGGGCATTATACTTGTATAAAAGAAAAAGTAAAGCAAGGCTTCAGATTTGTACGTGTTCGATTAATTTTTATTATTATTGCACTTAACATTGAACTCATTATATTTGATAGAAAGGTAATTTGCAGAGTTTTTTTAACGCCTGACATTTTTTGCTTAATAACTAAGTGAGGGTAATAACGAGTATATGATTAAATTAAAATGAAGACATAACTATCATAAAAATGACTAGTTTTACTTCCAGATATTTGCATAACTTTTTTCTAAAACAAGTAGATTCCCGAAATTTCCGGAAACCAAGGCGATAAGAAGGCCATTGAGGTCTTTGAAAGAGTATGTAAACTTCGACAAATAGCTTTCAATTACCATTTAAAGGTGTCGCAGAGCTCAGAAATATATTAATTTATTTTATGGTTGGTCTTTTTTGCCGGAGAGATTTCTAGTAGATTTATGTGTGTGCACTAAACTGCATTTTAATTAAAATGCTATTCATTAAATCAAATGATGCATTTAGCTTTCATGAATTATAAAATGTGTTTAATCTTTGAATAAAGAAGAGTATGAAGAGAGAGAGCAAAAGCAAAAGAGGAAGGGTAGACACAAAAACAACGAGCGCTGAAGATTGCGAGTAAATCTCATTCGAGTAGGGAAAAACGCGAGACTAAAAGCTTTATTGAATTACTAGCTATATATTCCGATTATCTCTCATTTGCATTTAAAAAATATGAAACGTATTAAACACTTGTACAATTAAATGGGCCGGAGCTTTTATTGATATTGGAATATCACACCTATCGGTAGGGGATGTAACATAAAAACAACTGCGCATCGTTTTCAGAAGTACAAAGTGCCAAGCCCCCTATATGTACAGCTAACGATAGCCTATAGAATTTCACTCTTGTGTGCCAGTCTGCGTGGCTGTTTGTATGTAGGAATGTGCCGCTGCTATGGCATACATAAGCCCACGCAGAACGCTTATCATTAGCGCAGTTCTCTGACCCCAGTCAGACCTCTCGTGCTTAAATCTACTCATTAATTGCAACGCCAAATTGCGTCATCCACAAATTCAATGGCTTATCGCCAAGAACCACGACAACGACGACAATTAATAACTAAAACATGAATTGTAACAATTTCTTAATATGAGTCGACCAGTAATCATTAAAATACACTGTGAGTACATAATTGCGGACCATTTATCACTTAATGTTCCAAATTAATTTAAAGGTTGTCCAAATTGTTATGGAAATGTTTCAAACAAAGCTCTGAGAAAACAAATTTAGTTCATAGTAAGACTTCGCTTTTAGAAAAGCTGTTGAAAAACGGAGCGTTTTAATATTTTTGTTTCCTTTTAATTATTTTGTAACCTCATACTCATTTAATTTCAGAACTTTATCAGCATTTAATTTGCAAATATTATTATTCCTTAACAAGCGATTTTAAAGAGCTTCAGAACTTAATATTCGAATTCTTCGTTTCTGTTCTGAAAACAAAATAGTTTAAGGCAAAAACTTTGTGATTGCGTAATTTTTAAACAAGTCATGTTTATATATGTTCCATTTTCTAGTTGCCTTCTTTGCTTGTTATTATTGTTATTTTGTGAAAATTAATTTTTCTTTCCTGAGCTATGGCTTGTTATGTTTGTTCTTTCTCTTGTTTCTGGCTTGTGCCATATGCTAAATACATTCGCATTGCGTTTTCTCACTGTGTAAGCTGTTGTTGGAATCGATAAGGCCGCCGCACACGAACCAAAAGAAAAGACGTATTTAAAACGCTGATAATTGAGCAAACGATCAGCAAAAAGAAAAAAAAAAGCGCGCTGCAAGAATTTTACTCACACCAAAGGGCACACACACAGCCGCATTATTAAAACAAGATAGAACGCTACAGTCGAGCAAGTCCGACAGTGAAATACCCTGTACCCAGACAAACTTCCGGCACTGAGTTATATGCGCCCCTAGCAGAAGCAATAAAAAAAGAAGAGCGAACTTAATTGAAATTTGAAATAAAAGTAGATATTTGTAAATAAATTAGGTGTGCAAAGTTTGGTTTATGTTGCTTTTGAAATCTGGGCAGCAGTGACGAAATTCTGTAGCGTGGTAAAAGGGTGGGAAAATCCGAAAAATAAAATAAACCCGTGTAACTTAGGTACTAGGTTTGGTTAATGTGCGGTCAACCGTTTCCGAAATCCAGGCGTTCATCCAGACGGGCGGACATGTCTAGATCGAATTTTCTCGTCATGCTGATCAATAATATATATACTTTATGGGGTCGGAACTGCTTCCTTCTGCCTGTTACATACTTTTCACAAACCTAATATACCCTTTTTACCCTACGGGTATAGGGTATAATGAACATATTTCATCAAAATCGAAATCGTGTGAAACGTTGGAACGAGTTTTTAGTTGAATTTTAGCAACCGGCAAACGCGCAACACTTCGAGTGAGACTAACACATCAAGAAATTGAATTGAAAATAAAAGAATCTTGTGAAATACAAAGTGTGCGCTAATTCGAAAACGCAAAGAAGTCGCGACAAGTGTTTGCCATGTTTGAGCAGAACAAGTTTCTAGAGCAAGAATTGCTGAATAGCGCGAGGAACTCAAAGCTAGCCAGTTAATCAAATTGTAAATACCCAGGATATCAACATTAAATAGAGTGTCTGTTAAAAGTAGTATCACAGTTGAAATCAAGTTAGATAAGCATAAAAATGTGCTATATAAATTTCTATATAGCACTCTTGTGGCTGTTTCTGTCCCAGCTCGAGGGCAAAATGCTGCCCCTCCTGCTAGAATTGGGAGTGCAGAAAACCTGTCGGTTGAATGAGACGGGCAACTGTAATGACGCCATCAATCTAGAACATCTGCAGCAGCTGCAGCAATACATGCAACCCGACGTGGATCCCTGCCAGGACTTCCACGGCTATGCCTGTGGAAATTGGCGTGCACTACACGGCAATGAGGAGCATTCGGCCATGAGTCTGAGTGGTCGTCGCATCAACGAACGCTACGTACAGCTTTTTGACCGGCTGGCACGCGATAAGCTGGCGCAGCAGCCTCTACTGCCCGTCTATGAGAAGCTGCTGCACTACTACGAGACCTGCAAGAACAGCGAACTGCACGACAAGCTGAAGCTGCAGGGCTATTTGGAGCAGCTGCCGGAGATGGCTCACCTGCATTGGCTGGAATTACTAGCGTTGCTCGGTCGCTATGGCTATGGCGAACATTTTGTGCGTATTGCGGTCAGTCAGCACAATACCACGCAGCATAATGTGGTGATTGTGCCGCATAAGACGTACACATCTCTGAATCTGACAGAGCAACTGTTTGAGGCACTCCAGCACTACATGATACCCACGAGACTGAATCTAACCACGCTGCGCTCGGAGTTTGGCAAGCTGGAGGCGGATCTCGCTCTAATTGTAACTCAGAATACGCAGCAAACGGACGATGAGACCCTCAGTTATTACACAGTGGAGCAGCTGGTGAGAGGGTGCGGAGAGCTGAACTGGCAGCGAGCCTTCAGCATACAGTTTGGACAAGCACTGGCACCCCAGCATTTACTGCTGGTGGACGAACTGCCAGCAATAAAAAAACTGGCGCAGTATTTAAACCACGCTGATCCCACATTGCTTCGACTTTATTCGCTGGCGCGTTTTCTGCATTATCTGCTGCAGCGTCCGCACAATCCGCTCGCCAAGGCTCACGGCGCCAATCCCTACAACTGTGTGCGACACATGCGAAAGACACTCTATCTGGCCATGAACTATGCTTACGAACAGTTCTACTATGCCCCCCAGCGGGCGGCAGATGAGAGGATCCTCCACGCGGTATTTGCTGAGCTCAAAGCCCAATTTGCACTCACGCTGAAAGCCAATGAGATGCGAATTATGCCGGATATATTGCAGGTAAGGATTCAGAAATGTAATAATGTTGTAAGAATTTGTTAAAATAACGACATCGGATATGGGGGATTTTAATGAATGAATGAATGAAACGACATCTTTGCATTTATTTAAAATAAAGTAAAACATTAGACATTTCATTATATAATTCAAATAATTTGTCTGATTAAAGTTACACACATTATAACTGTAATAATGTCATGTCTGAACAAACAGAAAATAAAACCCAAATATTATCTAGCTTGCAAAAGAAATTCAAGTTCTTTTCGTCCCATTTAATCTAATATATATGTTCCCAATAAAAAATGTATCGCTGATTATCACTGATGATTAGTGCTTCAAATTTACTATTTTTCTTAAACGATTTATTCTTAGAAATGTATTTGTACTTGTACTTGTATTATTCAGTATTATAATTAAACGAAAACATTTAACATTAGTAAGCAGTCTGAGCTATTTTTCTTTTAAACGCATAATTCTGCTTAAAACAATGACTAAAAAGTACAAAATTGAGAGAGTTTACATACAAAAGAAGGGAAGAAGTACTTTTGTTTATTTATATTATAATGTGAACTTTCTTTTATCTTATGATTATTGATTTATACGAATGCTTTATAACCCACTCTAAATTTTGATTGCAGGCCATGCTCGGGAAGCTGGAGGGAGTGCGCCTCAATGTGGGTAACATGCCGCTGAATGCCAGCCTTCAGTTCTTTGCCGAGTGCGTTGAGCATTTGCATGTGGGCGAAAACTTCTATGAGAATCACCTGGAAAGCCTGCTACACTATTTTGCCCATCTGTCGGAGCTGGAGCGCGAGGGCGATCGTGAGGGGCTGTGGTACAGCTTCAATCACCATGGGCCCGATCTATTGGACAATATAGATGCCACGCCCTATTTCTACTGTCTGGGCAGTATTATCATTATACCCTACGCTTACTTGCAGCTGCCCTTCTACGATGCACAGTTCTGGCCCGCCCTGCTCTACGGCGATTTGGCCAACACTCTCGGCCACGAATTGCTGCACTCCTTCGATACATATTTCGTGGACTACGACGAACATGGAAATATGCGCGATTATAGCAGTAATCTGCTGCGAAACGATCGTTATGTGTCAAATGTAAACTGTCTGAACGACAGCTCTGTGCCCGTGCTGAACGAGCGGACGTCTGATATTAGTGGAACGCGTCTAGCCTTGGCCACCTATATGACGGACCCAGAGTTTAGACGCGCCAATGGCAAGTTGTACTTTCTGCAATTTGCACAGTTTTTTTGTGGCAACGACAGCGATATGTATCATGATGCGGGCAGCAAACGCTTGAACTATACGCTCGCACAGATGCCAGAATTTGCCGAGGTTTTCGGCTGTGCGGCGGGCACGCCCATGAATCCGCCGCAACGCTGCCGCTTCTGGTAGCAGCCTAGTACTTAATAATATATGTATATATGTATGTAGGCGTGTAAATGTTTAAAAGTAGCTTTAACTTTGTAGTTAGGCCGCCAAGTATTGTAAATAAAATGTGAAAATTAATTAAATATGAGAAAGCCTCATACCCAGTCTTTCGCATCACTCATACGCCACGTATGCGCCATTCCTATTTTATATGCGGCACGCATACGCTTTGAAAAATCTTTGACAGTAGCAACAGCCACAGCAGTGGCAACATCAGTGAAGACAAGTTAATTTTCAATTACGTGCGCAACGTGAGAGTCGGACGAGTAGAAACGGGCTGGCTCACTGGAACTTCTAATGCAATACAGGACAGCAGGACATAACAGGCAGCACATTACCCTTCTCATAAACCAAAAATAGGAAACAATTCTTCATCTTGTCGGTCTGCGCTTGTGGGTCTGAAACTGTTAACCTGATTGCTGATACAATCGTGAAGTAGATTTAGCGCACTTCCATGTACAACTTGGTAGTTAAAATAAAAGAAATCTCTGCAGTTTCTAACGCCATATTTAATTGCATAATTGGCCTAATTAGTTGAATTAATGCAATTAATCGCACATGTACATATGTATTTAAATTTCTTTACCTTTGCAGAATTTTTTTTTTCAATTAAATTCGCTTTAAAAGTGTCGCATTATTTAAGATTTGTCCAAAAAGGAAAATTATTAAATCAGTTTATGTGCCATTATACAAAGGTTTTTATACCCTGTACCCAAAGGGTACAAGGGTATATTAGTTTTGTGCGAGTGCACATGGAACACACAGAAGGAGGCTTGGTAGACCCCACAAAGTATATATATTCTTGATCAGCATGACAAGCCGAGTCGATATAGCCATGTCCGTCTGTCCGTCTGTCTGTCCGTCTGTCTGTCCGTCTGTCCGTCTGTCTGTCTGTATGAACGCAAGGATCTCCGAAAGTATAAGAGCTAGAATAACCAAACTTGGTATACAGATTCTCCTGAGACCGAGAAAGGACGAGTTTGTTCATTTTTTCTGATCCACCCCCCCACTCCACCCCTATTACCAATTTTCTATAACTCCCGTAATTCTTGGAATTTTGAACTTAAATTTGGTAGTCACATTAGGTTAGTAATTATATATCCGTATACCAAGTTTCATTATGATAGAATGATCAAAAAGAAAGTTATAGCCATATAACCAGGCCCAATGCACACATACATACATATGTACAAGTACACAAACACGCATAAGGCACGATTCTGATGTAAATGTAAATGTATGTATGCATGCATGGAATATTTTATATTTAATTAGTTAATATTTAGTTAATTAATTAAATTAATGTAGTTAATTAATTTAATTAAATTAATTAATTAATTTAATTACTTTTTTGTGGGGTGGTACAGGGTATTTAAGAGTTGAGCCTGCTCGACTTTAGCATTCCTTTCTTGTTTTTTTTAAAAGTATCGCTCATACTTCAGGATCAACTTTAGGAGTATATAAATCTGTATATGAAGGCACATATGGTCTCTTCTGTCACATATGCTCGACTTTCGGCAGTTCATTTGCGAACTTCGTGGCGTTTCCAAAATACATATTTTCAAAGAAAAAATGCAGAAACAGCAGAATATTTTCGACATCGTTGTGACAACATCAACGATGCATTCGAATCAAAGGCGCACAGTGGGAAAAGCATTAAAAAAAGGATAACTTCCGAATATCTCGACCTCACAGCGCCTAAACGGGTTTTTGTGAAACAAACAAACGTAAAGCCATTTTCTTCTTTTTGGCAAGAGTTCTGTTATTCGATTTGAGAACGTGAAATACAAAGTTGTGTTTATGTCTCGCGATCTTCAAATTTCTCTGGAGTTATCGTCGTTATAAAACACAAACATATTATTCTAAGAAAAGATTTTTTTTTAATTTTGAGTTAAATTGGTGAAGAAAATGTATTTGTTACCAACTGATCTTTTTGAACACTTTGCCATTTAAATTATTGTACCTAAAAATAAATACCTAAAAATAAATTCTACATGTATTGTCAAAATTGATTTTGCTATGCGGCAACCTTTATACTCAGTATACTTTACACTGTGCGGCGTACGAAGCGAGGCTCGCACAGCAACAGATTTCTTAATTCTTTGTGGCCACACATATGTATATGAAGATTTGTGTTTGTGTGTGTGTGTGTCAGAATTTGATTCTCATATATATATATATATATATATATATATATATATATATATATATATATACATATATATGTATGTGTGTCTGTGTCGTGGGCTTTTACTTGCCGGCACGCTTTTTATTTATTTGCTAATTAACACGTTTCCTGTGTTCTCGCTTTTCGCTTGGCAACTTGTTGAAGGTCGTGCCACATTACTCATACGCCACCGATGCCTCACCTGGGCAGCAGGCCAGCGGGCCGGTGGGGTGTGAGTGCGGCATGTCTGCATTAATAGACCATTAACCACAGCTCGCTGGCGGTGCGGCACGTGAGCCACATGACAAGCCGAGCGCATGGCCGTTCAGCCAGCCTAAACAAAAGTCCACGAGTCCAACAACAACAACCCAGACGGCGCGCCACAGCGGCTTCCTCTGCTGCAAATAAAAATCGCTTATGCGTACATATGCAGGCAAATACTATGTAAGCGTATACTCGTACATACGTGTATATACATGCGAGTACATATTTACATTTGTAGCTGTCGTATTTCCCGCTGCCTTGTGCTGACTCGACGATTTGGCGCGCAAATGCTGGGCTTGCGGTTTTCATATGTATTTCTCTGTTTTTGTTTCTGTTTCTGGTTTTGTTTTTGTTTTTGCGTTTGAGCTCGCGCTACCGACTATATGAATTGATATTCGATGCGATGTGGCTTTTGTAATTGGCTGATGTGTGTGTGTGTGTGCGTTTGTGAGTCGCTTCGTCTGCTCTTATCAGCAGCGAATACGTCGGCTAATTTCATTCATTCATGTAAGTCAAATGACCAGAGTTTGCTTCCGAGGCGATTTTATTTTAAACTGCGGGAACGCGTGTTTGAGTGACGCAATCGAAGTCAAAAATTGCAACAAGCTTTGCAATTGACTCTCAATTCAATTAGCCTGTTAAGCGACCAAATAAGTGAACGAGTTACCGTCTCTGTCACGTGTCTCTGCTTGTTGTCGGCTGCTTCTTGCCAGATTGATGGAAAAAAGTGGGATGAGCTTTGTATAAGATTCATTTCAATTATTCCTCATAATAATGAACTTACTCTCAATACAATACAATTACTCTCTCTCTGTAACCTTAGTTCTTAGTTCTTAATTTATAAATATTTAAATTTGACCTTTCTCCTCTTTTCCAGCTGCACTATCCATCTAATCTTTTCCAGTTAGGCGCTCACAATGACCATAAAGCCCCCCATGTATGCAATGCATATTGTATTGATTGTATTGATTTGGTACTCGTAGAAGTATTGTTGAAAGGCCTAAATTCCTCTTACTATAGTATGTATTCCTCTTATCAATCAATTGCATTTAAGGACATTTTTTTATTACAATAAATTTTAAGACCTGCCGGCAAGAAAATTACTAAATATCGAAATAAACATTACTTTCCTTTTTAATAAAAATAAACCTTCGCATAATGCCTTTCAACTCTACGGGTACGGTGTATGAAGAACATTTTAAATATGATGATGATTAAAATAATTTGATAAAGAGTTGCGAAACTGATTTACAATGAACCAAATTTTCATGAAATATCACATTTTAAGTTCGACATTGTCGACGTTAAAGCCCAGCTGTCCAGTAGCATGTGTTTATAATATGAATATACATATATGTATGTATGTATGTATATATTTGACACAACTATTTTCCCCATCCTTTCACACACAACCAAACACCAAACCAATGGTCAAAAAGTCAACAAGAGCATTTTTGCGGCTTCCCACAGTGTGTGAAAATGTTTCGGCTGGCGTCTGTTCATTGTTGTTTTTTGTTGATGTTTACCTAACTGTGCAAGGCGTGTCTATCTGTCTGACTGTTTGTCTGTTATTGTTAGTGGCGTCATTGTTATGCCTTAAAAAAAATACAAACACACATAGCCGTGCAAAATGAGGAGTCAAGCGAGACAGTCTCGTTAGTTTGCACAGCGCCTAAAAGCCGCACCTTCTTCCTACAGCAGCACAAACACGTGCTGCAATTCACACGCCTGGCGCGAGCTATTTTTATATGGGTATATATACTATTTAAAAAAGAAGAAGAAAAGGCAGAAAATGTAAATAAAAAGTTAGCAGAGATTGGGTAACTGCGACATTGATAAACGTAGGAATGCCCTCAGACCAGAAAAAAGACAAGCTGACTTTATTTGCTTTGAAGTGCGAACAAATTCTGGCCGAGGGGTCAGGGACAATAAATTAATTAGGCTTACATACAACTCATAAGACAGAATTGAGAACTTTCTGAATTTTATTCGTAAATTTATTTAACGAATAAAATGTAATGTACTTTAAATCACTAAAAAATCACATGAAACCAAATTTCTGATTACAAATGACAAATTCTTATAACTTATTTAAAGCATAACAATTCCTTCAAAATTATGTCCTGTACAAACGTCACTCTCAAAAAAAATAAACTTTCCATTTACATAGTATTTTTTCTTTCGCTATAAGATACCGCTTGCCTCAGATATATTTCAATTATAGTTTTTACTCTTAGTTGAATGTTTATGATTCAGAGCACAAATAAGAAAATACAATGTACAACAAAGTGTGCATAATTTTTAATTTGTTTCCGGTAAGTGTCAAAAATTTGCCATCCAACAATTTATAGTCATGCTGATGTTTTAATTGCAAAGTTTAGTGTGAAGTCTAAGTGCCCGCGATGTGGCGAAGGGCATTGCACAAAGCTCTGCGGTGATGAAAAAATGAAAATCAAATAATATAAAAAATCAGAGAAAACAATAACAAAAGCAACAGCGGACAGTAATAAAAACAACAAGGACAAAAATAAGCGCTGCTGGCAGTGTAGATGGTGATGGCAGTGGCCACGTCGATGGTGGCGATACGATTCCGAGAGGGAAATAGCAAACAT